ATGGATTCCAAATTAATTTTCGAAGTTTCTGACTTAAAATTGCTTCGAGATAAGTGCTTGATAAAAAATCTTTTATGATATATCACAAGTAAATACATAGTTATGAAAAAGTTCGATGTTTGGTTGGATGAAAAATAAATCAAAGGTATAGTAAATGCAATGTATTTCATTGTAGTTCAATTTTGAGTAAGTATCGCTTATACTACTCTGCCATCCTGCTGCTAGCCTCCACCCACCACCCTCGTCTTCCTTCGGCCACCGCCTGCTCTTGCAGCAGCCGCCATCGACGCCGGTGGTAGATTGATGCTGCCCATGTCCACCACCTTCCCAACTGACCGCCACCGCTGATTGCCACTGCCACCCTCCAACATTGGTCGTTGCTCACCATGGGCACAACTTTATAATATCTTAGATTGCATTTATTTTATTTCAAATCAAATTAAAAAAATAAAATTATGTATTCCTTTTGCACTCATTCAAATAATATTAAAATATTGTTTTTACCAGGAAATATTTTTTATATTCTAAATCCTTACAAACCCAAAATATATGGAGTCTTGCCCTTGCCAAAATCCAAGTGCATTTTACAATATTGCAGCTTATGTAAGCCATAGTTGGAAAATTCGCCGACAAGACCACCATATGTAGTCGCGGCCAACGCGGGAGAAACCTTCTGAAATGTCAAATTCGAAAAAGATTCCCGCCAGGTCAAAACCCGCCCTCGCTGTTCTCCTCAGTCCTCAGCACAATGCCAATCCCTAGCGCGCTCCTCCGACGATTCTTTCATGGCAAACCTCAATCTCAACCCCTCCGCTGGAAGTAATTTCTCAGCCATGGATACCTCAAACACTAACCCTATTCTCTCCTCCAAATCCAACATCTACCACATCAGCGGCGTCCCGGTAGAGTTCCCCTACAAACCCTACGGCTCTCAGCTGGCCTTCATGAGCCGCGTCATCTCCACTCTTGACCGCGCACGCCGACAGGGCCACTGTCATGCTCTCCTTGAGTCCCCCACTGGCACCGGTAAAACCCTATCCCTTCTCTGCGCTTCCCTTGCGTGGCAGCAGCAACAGAGTCTTCGTCACCTCTCCAGCCCCGCTTCCATTGTCTCGCCGAATGCTGAGGTTGCCGATCCCCTTCTCCACGGTGGTGGTTTCATCCCTGATCCCGATGCATCTGGTAAGATATCCATTCTATTTTTTTAATCTAATTGTCTTTTCCTCTCTTTTTCTTTTGTAGAATCAGGGTTTTGTTTTTATCCTCGCAGGGAATCCAGAGATGCCTCAGCAAGGAACGAAAGCTAAGACCCAGAAGAGGCTCACGACTCCCAACATTTATTATGCATCGTAAGTGTTTTACCATGCGGTGGCTGCGGTTGTTGATTAGTGGTTATTTCGTATTGATTATGTTCGATTTTTTTATTTGAAGGAGGACACACTCTCAGATCAGTCAAGTGATTCGGGAATACAGGAAGACATCTTACCGCGTGCCTATGGCTATTCTGGTGACATTCAACTTTTACCTTGGCGTATCATATTGCAAATAAGTTAGCAAGTTTAAATAGCAGGAAAATTATTATGTTAGGATATCCTAATTAAAAATTAATCACAGTAGGTCTTAAGGATATTGCATTTTCTTTGAGATTAATACTATATATTTGTAATTAAATCAAACTTGTATTGCATCTTAAAATAAATTATAGAAATTTAAAGCTTGCAATGACCAAAGTTTGATCAAAATAGACGGACCTTTACCCAAAAAACATCTTATTAGTGGTTATAGCAAGCAGTTTGGATGAAAAATGTAATGCAAATAGTTGGTCACTTCTTTTTCATGCAAAGAATGGGCAAATTTAGTATTGGCTTCTCTAGATCTGGTGAATTTTCTTCACATAGTAGTTAGTATGCAACTTTTATGTTCATGCATGGTAACATATATATTAAACACCTATTTACTATTTAATGTTTAATATCCTTAGCCGCACATAATATCAAACAGATGTATGCAGTTGAGAAATATTTTCATTAGAGTTTTGGTTGTTTTTTTAGATTGTTTTTCATCATGACTCAGGTTCTTTTGAGGTACTAAATTTTTTGGTCTAGTAGTAAATGAAATATATTGTCATCTTTATTAGGCATCACGCAAGCACTATTGTACCAATAAGTATGTATGCGGTAAAGAAAACGTGGATGAAGTATGGTACATCCTCTGGCTCAGTTGACTACTAAAAGATATTTCCATCACTTGTATTTTGTGACATTTTTGGATATGCTGCAGTAAATTGCTCCTGAAGGATCAATCTGGAGGTTGTCTTGAGTTCAAGTTAGTAGATTCAAATTTGGTGGAAGTTGTTCAAATATATTTCTGTTTTTCATATATTTTGATTAGTCCTGGACGAAGTGATGTTAAAGTAATTTGCTAACAGAAATGCAAATAAAGTCAAAAGTCATCCTTCTCTTCAGATTGGTGGATGTTTTGAGGTTCATGATATAGAGGATCTAGTGAGGATTGGTCAACGTGTAAAAGGTTTGATATACCATTGCTCGTGCTTTGGACAATTATTACTACTTCTAGAATGTTGGACTGACGTCCTTTGTTTTATTTTTCCCTCCTTTTCAGGTTGTTCATACTTTGCTGCTCAAACTCTTGCAGCTGAAGCACAGTTAGTCTTTTGTCCATACAGCTACATCATAAATCCAATTGTTCGGAGAGCTATGGACGTTGATATCAAAGGATGCATTATAATTCTTGATGAAGCCCAGTATGCTTTTTAAATTTTTTGGAAAAAGCTATTTCAAAACCAGATTTCGTAACTATATTAACTTTGTAGTTTGCTTTTATAGATTTAGCTGTGCTAATTATATTGAAGTGCAAGTGATTATGAACTCCGTAATACTATATTTATGTTTTAAATATTAACATTACTGTTGCTAGCTTGCATGGTCTGTAAGCACAACCTTCCCTATTAGCTGCAAAACGAACATTTAATTGCTAACCTTTTTCTGTACGTTTATTTTAAGTAAGTTTTGGCTTGATTTTCACACTTTTCTATACATAAATACATCTTATTCTATGCCTTTTGAATAGCAACATTGAAGACATGGCACGTGAAGGTGGCAGTGTGGATATTGAAGAAGAAGTGCTTCATGGTTAGAAAACTACTTTTCAACGCCATTGCTTCCTGCTCGATAGATTAAAAAATACACTCATTGTAATTATTTTTCTTCTGAAGCACTTCAGGTAGAATTAGAGCAGTTGTGCATGAATGATAATCTTGCGGTGACATATAGACCACTATATGATGTCATTGAGGTAAATTTTATGGTTAGAAATATCGCACTTATTTGTTACACTCTACCTTACCATATGCGTTCAAATCTTCAGGGAATTGTAGGTTGGATCAATATGAGGAAAGATAATTTGCAGAAATGTGAATTTGAGCATTATTTATCATCGTGAGTTTTTTTCCTCATTGATCATCCTTTAAAAAAAAAAAATTTAGGCTGTCCTAAACTAGAGAGGATTAAATTTTCAAAGGTGTTTGGTTGGATTGATGAACACCAACTGTCCTTTATTTTGTTAAAACTAACCATTATTAATCCTTGGTTGATTGAGCACAGTTTTTGTTGTTTTGCCAATAACATTTGTATTTTGTGTCCTTTTGAAGTTCAAGAAATTTGGTTTGAGTATCTTAGTCTTTCTGAATGACAAGTATATAGTTTTAAAATTTATGGTATATGACAAGATTGGAGGCATAAAATAATTGAAGGTGGACATGCACTTGCTGCCTATGTTTCTTTCACAAAATTTATTTTGCTTCTCATTTTTTCAAGCAATCAATTATATCCGATTCACTTTTTTCGTGCATAATGTTTTGAAGTATTGAATGAGTATTTGCAATTTTACTATTTTCTCTTTAATTGCAGATTATGCATGTTTTATTGATTGCACAGTTTGCACTTGCTGGGTGATAAAATTTCATTCATAGCTAAGTTGAAACTGCCATAAATAAAAATGTTAAAGATGTATGTGGCAGAGTTTTGGAGGCTAGTGCAAGGTTTATGATAGTTAAATTTTGTGGTTCAATAAGAGTAGCAATTGTATATTGTATGATATTGGGTTTTGGCAGATAAAATTAGATGGTTTGGGCATGTATAATATAGAGTGACAGTTTCTCCAATATGGTTCTTAAAAGGAATGCAAAATAATTATGAAGTAAAACGGATGTATTAAAGTTAAACATGAGTAAAGATTTTAAAAATATATTTTTGTGCAACAGAATATAAGTTGTAACCTTTAAAAAGAATTAAAGCTGGAGCATATAAAGCTGACATGGATTATTGGGATAAATCTGATAATTTTGGTGTTGCTTTCTTTTGCATTGAGCTCCTTTAATATAACCAATCTACAAAATAATGTACAACAATGAAAGACTGAGTTTTGGCCTGGGAGTGCTTGTTGAAGTGAATTTCTTATCTATATCTGATTCAAATACGTAAGGTAGTATGTGAATATGGTTATATGTGCCGTGTAACTGAATTTTGAGTTCCATCATTGATTACTCAATTATTTGCATGTTTTGGTCCCTACACCTTTTGATTGCTATTGATTATTTGAATGTCTTATGCTTCTGGTACAAAGATGTGATTGATGGTTTTGATGAACATTTTTCAATTTGTAATAAAATATCTCTTTAATAGTGTTGTGAGCTAGAATATACGCAGTAGAGTAAGTTTTTCGTCTTGGTGATGTACAAATATCCAATACACCAATAGATAGTTGAAGAGAGAGCGAAACAACAATAAAAAATTTTTATGTGGAAAATACGAAGAGGGTAAAACCACGGGCCCCGCTCATGTGAAAAGATTCCACTAAATTTGAGAAAATTACAAAAGTTGACCCATCATTTAACTTAGAGATGGAGCAATTATAGTAGTTTGAAGGGTAGAAAGTCCAAATAGTGGTTGCGTTAAAGTTCAATAGCGTTTGGATGGAAGTGCGATTGAGGTTGGCGGCCGGATGGAAGTCCTGCAGCAGTTGGCGGCCGGACGGAAGTCCGATGGTGTTCGGAGGGTAGACGATGGTCAGTCGGAAGTCCGAGTGACGTCTGGTGGTGGCTTGACAGAGGTTGGCAACCATGCAGTGGACCGACTTCGATGGTTCAGTGGTGGTTGGGAAAAAGTACAGTGGTGGTCGACGGTCGGGTGGTGGCGTGGCGGCTATCGGCAACCGATTGGTGGTCCAACGGTGGTTGGTTTGAATTCCGACGATGGTCGGGAAGTCGAGCAGTGGTCTAGTTGGTTGATAGAAGTTTGCTTGTAGTGGTGCTTGGATGGAGCTCTAGATCCTCGAAGCCACCTCAGAGAGCTCTCCAATGTCTAGCAAAATCTCCCTCATGTAGAGGCTGAGGGTCTATTTATAGATTTTTGTGAGTGACACACTATGAATATAGAGGATATTTAGGGTAGATTTGGAGTGACCATCGAATGACCCATACTAATTCCCTGAATCATAGAGCATTTTCAAGCATTTATATTCCTTAATGATGTCAGAATTAAACAATCTTGTGCTTGTTGGATTCTTCTCGTCGAGCCACTCAATTCAACTATAAGTATGCCATACTTAGATATCATTTGGTCATCCAATTAATGATTTGAACCTTTTAAATATGCTTAGATCTCTTGATTTGGACCTGTTTGGGTTCGAATCAGATCAATTTTGGTGTCGTAGGGTTCGTCTCCTTGAGATGTTCAATTTGAATATAAGTTTTTTAAAATCAGAGTTCAGATAGTCCCAAATTTAATTTCAAAAGTTTCTAATTTGGATATGCCTCTAGATTCATGCTCAATTAAGATAATTTTTCGTGATGTATCAAATAAGAAGTTAAAGTTTCATTCATCTCCAAGTTTGGTACCTTCATTATCAATTTGGCTAAATATGGTCTCTTTTGGTCTTTAGCATTTGGTTCCATACTCTACAAAAAGTGTGTCAAGGATCTTGGATTGAATACCTAGAAATATGCTACAGAAAAAAAGGATTTTTGGTTGTATCTCACTTTCCTATCAACCGTGATTTTTCAATTCATTTTTTTTGAATTAACATTTAGTTTTTGCAATTATCAATATCACATATTCAAACAAAAGAAGTATTATTGAAATTAAAAAAAAAATAAATCTATGGTTTAATAGATTGATAAGTTAAATTACTGTCGATGACTGGTAGAAATCAAGTGGCGGAGCTATAAATTGAATATGGTTAGAGACTATAGTTAGCATTTGACTAAATTGATGAGATGTTTGTGCGACTATTCACATGGGCGGTGTGTTGTATTGTGTCATTGTGTGGAAGGGAGGAAACACATGCAAGACTAGTGATACCTTCTGCAGGACCGGTGGAACCTGGAAGACAAGTTAACAACACAGCAAAGGAAAACAACAATTGAAGAGAAATACCTCTGTATTCTCTGTATTCTGTATTGAAAAACTTTGTGTAGAGATGACAAAAGCTCCCTTCCTCTCTCTTTCTTTTCCTATATGTATTTCTCCTATTTACTTCTATTAGCTAATAAGTAAAAAGATAATAAAAAGCAACATGCTATTAAAACGGAAAAGAGGTAGTGGGGAATAAAAGTTCGTTAGCCATAGGTAAGTTGTTCCCTCGTTATTGAATGCATAACCTGTACTGCATCAGTCCTCCCCGGCTTCAGAAGAGCTCGACTCCGACGAGCTGAGTGTAATTGGAGCCTCATAGGTAGAATGATATGGCCAGATATCGGTGACGTTGAATGTGGACGATGTGTTACATCCAGATGGAAGTTCTACACGGTAGGCATTATCATTGATTTTTGCCACAATAGGGACAGGACCGATCTTTCGCTTTGCCAATTTGGAATAAGCTCCTGGTGGGAATCGTTCTCGGCGTAATCGCACCATAACGAGATCACCTACTTGGAAATTGCATGGCCGGCGGTGTGCATCAACAACAGCTTTATACCGTTGATTAGAGCGAATAATTTGTTGGCGAACATCATCAAGTAACTTGGAGTAGTCTTCCGTAAAGTTAGTAGCCGAGCTTGACTTGCATTTTGGTAGAACAATAACATCTACAACCAAGTTAGGAGCTTTAGTGTAAACAACAGTAAAGGGTGCTTTACCTGTTGATCGATTGGGCATAGCGTTGAAAGCAAATTCTGCCTTGCCGAGGACGTCCTCCCACTGCTTGGGATGTTCTTGCACCAAGCATCGAAGCATATTGCCCAGTGTGCGGTTAACCACCTCTGTCTGACCGTCCGACTGTGGGTGATATGCGGAACTGAATCACAATTCAGTACCAAGCCTTTTCCACAATTCTCGCCAAAAATGACTGATGAATTTCTCATCTCTGTCCGAAGTAATGCTTCTCGGAATGCCGTGTAATCGAACTATCTCGTGAAAGAAAATTGTAGCTATATGCGCTGCATTGGCGGTCTTTTTACAAGCAATAAAATGGCTCATCTTTGAAAACCGGTCTACGACCACCAAAATTGAGTCATGCCCCTTCTTTGTTCTAGGCAATCCAAGAACAAAATCCATGCTGAGATCTTCCCAAATGGAATCCGGTACCGGCAATGGCATATACAAACCGGTATTTTGTGCTCCACCCTTATAGCTTTGACAAATGGGGCAGCCGTCCACAATGCGGAATGCATCCCGCCTGAGTCTAGGCCAAAAAAATCTAGCTTGCAGTTGCTTTAGCGTATTCTCCTTGCCAAGGTGTGCTGCGAGACCGCCACTGTGAATTTCTCTGATAAGGTGCTGACGCCAAGATGATTGAGGGACGCATAGTAAATTCTGTTTAAAAAGGAAACCGTGCCGTATAGAGTAGTCCTCAACTTGTGTGCCTTCACTGCACTGTGCCCATATAGTGCCGAAATCCACATCCTCTTGATACAGTTCTTTCAAATGCTCAAGTCCCACGTTTTCGGATTGCAAACTGGTGAGCAGTGTCGCCTTCCTGCTGAGCGCATCTGCCACTCTGTTTTCATTTCCGGGCTTATGCTTTAGAGTGAACGTAAACCGTTGTAGAAAGAGAAGCCATCGGGCGTGCATACGGTTGACTGTTCGCTGAGTATTTATGTGTTGTAATGCCTTATTGTCACTGCAAAGAATAAATTCTTGATGCAACAAGTAAGATTCCCAGTGTTTTAAGGCACGAACTACAGCATAAAGTTCCTGCTCGTAAGCTGTCCATTTTTGTCTAGCAGGACACAGTTTCTCACTGAAGAAGGCCACCGGTTTTCCTAACTGTGATAGAACTGCTCCGATACCTATGGCGGATGCGTCGGTGTCCACTGTAAACAATTGATCGAAACTGGGAAGCACTAACACTGGTGCAGTGGTGAGGGCATCTTTGATCTTCTGAAAGCTCTGTTGCTGCTCGGAATCCCATCGGAACGATTTAAGCTTCAGGATGTCAGTTATTGGAGCCATTATGAGACTAAAACCTTTGATAAACCTCCTGTAGAAGTTGGCGAGCCCGTGGAAACTACGGACTTCAAAAAATGTTGTAGGCGTTGGCCAGTCTCGTATTGCAGCAACCTTATCGGGATCCACTTGAATTCCCTCTGCCGAGACTATGAACCCCAAGAAACGGATATGGGACGTTGCAAATGCACACTTCGGAAGATTAACGAACATCTTCTGTTCTTTTGACAACTCAAAAAGGGATTTCAGATGTTGAAGGTGTTGATGCCGGTTATCACTATAGACCAAAATGTCATCAAAATATACGATGCAGAACTTGTCGAGGAAAGGTTTCAAAACCTCATTCATTACTCGCATAAACGTCGAAGGTGCATTACATAGACCAAACGGCATAACCTTCCATTCATACAGGCCGTGAGGAGTTTTAAATGCCGTTTTCCATTCGTCCCCTGGCCTGACCCGAATCTGGTGATATCCGCTCCTTAAGTCGATTCTGGAGAAAATTGTTGATCCCGTAAGCTTATCTAGTAGCTCCTCTATCCTCGGCATCGGAAACCTATATTTGACAGTAATCTTATTGATCGCTCGACTGTCAATGCACATTCTCCAATTGCCATCTTTCTTTGGTAAGAGTAGCGCCGGAACTGCACAGGGGCTCAAACTCGTTTGGATGAGCTGTTTTTGAACCAAATCATCTATGATCCCGGCCAAGATCTGTTGTTCTTTCGGGTTGAGTCTGTAGTGTGGCAAATTCGGTAAGATGGCGTTGGGGTGAAAATCAATTTGATGTTGGATGCTTCGGAGCGGTGGGAGCTCGGCTGGCAACTCAGCTGGGCACACATCTGCGAATTGTTTGAGGAGATTGCCCACATCTTCAGCAGGAGCGGTTCCGCCTGGTTCCCTAGCTGTAGTCGTTTCCACGATCAGCAAGGCGAACATAGGTGAGGGTTCTTGCCAACTTTGAAGTAATACAGGTCCTGAGACCAAATGAGCCGCAGCTTGTTTGGCCGCACCCTTACTTATTGCTGAATTTTCAGTTGTCCTAGGTAACAACCTCAACTTCTTGCCCTTCCAGTCAAGCGAGTATGCATTGGCTCTACCTTCATATCGAGCATCTACATCAAACTGCCATGGTCGTCCTAAAATCAGGTGGCAGACGTCCATATCAAGCACATCGCACAAAACGTCGCAAACATATTGTTTGCCAATGGAGAAGGATACCCGACATGATTCGGTGACCAAGATTTCAATGCCCCTTTTTACCCAGCTGATTTAATATGGCTGTGCATGCTTAACTGTTTTAAGCTGAAGACCTTGGACCAAAGAACGTGAAACTATGTTTTCGGTGCAGCCGCTATCAATTAGAAGATCGCATACCTTGCCCGCTATAGTGCACCTCGTTTTGAAAATAGCATGTCGCTGGGAGGTAGGGGATTGTCTAGGTGCTAGCAACAGTTTTTCTAAAATGCCAAGGAATGGCTCCCCCTCATCCGCCTGGACTTCTTCAATATCCTCTTCGGCCTCAAATTCCGCCTGTTCTGGGTCCTCCCCTTCTTCTGCTTCAGCTAATTGCACCTGCTGTCTCTGTGGACACTCATTGGACTTGTGTCCGGGTTGGAAACAGCGGAAGCACTTCAACGTCGTAGGCTTTGCATATGGATTGGCCGTAGGGGCAGTTTTCGGTTTTGATATTGTCTTCCCATCCATTCCACTGCTAGACGCTGCCGATACAGATGTCGTCTGGTTTGTTCTCGGTAACACCTGGGAATGAGATTTTGTCTGTGACTCTTGCCAATGACGCCGGTTGGAGGGGGTTTTAGCTTTACGGTTCTGTTGTACCTCTACCTTCATTGCTAAATTCACCGCCTGCGGCATCGACCAAACCGAATTTAACTCCAACTTATCCTGGATACTGTCACTGAGTCCACCGATGTATCGAACAACTACTTGAGTGGGTGATTCGTGCAGATCATTCCTCGCGCTTAACCGATTGAACTCCTCAGTATACTCGCTAACGGAGCGCGAGCCTTGGGTACGATGTTGGTACCTCATGTACAAAATTTGCTCAAAATCAGTCGGTAGGAACTGTGCTCGCAGTAGCTGTTTCATCTTAGTCCAAGTGCGAATGCAGCCACGTCCTTCCCTCCTGCGGGATTGTAATACTTGCTCCCATCAAGCGCTGGCGCCCCCCTTCAAGCGACACGCCACATATTTTACCTTCTTCTCCGGCACAATGTCCATATAATCAAAGAAATTCTCGACGGACTTCTCCCAATCAAGATAATCCTCTATGTGCAAATGTCCGTCGAAAAATGGAATGTCTAGTTTCACCTTGAACTCACCCGCCGGTTGCTGAAAGCGCTGAAATCTTCTGTTTCGGTGCCAATCTGTGTTGAATCGCTGATCCGTCTCCTCTTCACTGGAATCCTTTGGATCGTAATAGCGGCGGCGCGGAGGGGTTTCGTCTTCCGACTCTTCCCGCTCGGTTGGATTGATTTGTAAGTATCTTCTCTGTTGTCCGTCATCATTCTCCCGCCGGATAGCTCGCTTATGTACAGGCGTTTCTTCCCGATGTCGATGAGTCTCTATCGCCCTGGCTGGATTGAACCCCCGGCGAACTTCGACGGCAAGACGTTGAATCTCTGCCGCTAATTCGTCAATTCTCCTATTGACTTTTTCCTGGTTTGTCCACAACGCATCAATGGTGCGGACATCCTCCCGAGCTGGTTCCTTGCCTTTGTCGGTCATACTTCCTCTTCCAGCGAAATAGCTCTGATACCAACTGATACCTTCTGCAGGACCAGTGGAACCTGGAAGACAAGTTAACAACACAGCAAAGGAAAACAACAATTGAAGAGAAATACCTTTGTATTCTCTGTATTCTGTATTGAAAAACTTTGTGTAGAGATGACAAAAGCTCCCTTCCTCTCTCTTTCTTTTCCAATATGTATTTCTCCTATTTACTTCTATTAGCTAATAAGTAAAAAGATAATAAAAAGCAACAGGCTATTAAAACGGAAAAGAGGTAGTGGGGAATAAAAGTTCGTTAGCCATAGGTAAGTTGTTCCCTCGTTATTGAATGCATAACCTGTACTGCATCAACTAGGACAACAGAGGGTGACATGTGCTGTGGGATTTCAACGAGGAAATATCACATGGTGGCAGGGCCTCCTGGGTACATGTTATATTGTGAAGCAAGATGCAATATTGGGTTGCGAGTGGAGTAGATCACAAATGTTGGGAAGCATTTACAGTAGATGATACATGGTAGATCATAGGGTTTTTAGCTAGATGAAGTGAGGATAGGTGCATACATTGGGATAAGTTGTCTGGATGGGCATGGCCTGAGGTAGAGCAGACACGTGGGTGCGGTTTTGTAGCAGTGCATTGCGAAGGATGCAAAGTGAGGATCAAATCTAGTGGTGAAATCAATAGGTATGTGGTTGCTGATGGAAATTCATATCCTTTTCATAGAAGTGTGGTTTGCCAGATAAGTTCAAATCAACTTCAATTCAAATCTAATCCTTCCTAATCCTAAACAATTCTCATTTAAAATAAATAACATCCAAGCAAATAATTAAACCAATTTTTAATTAAAAGAAAACTAGAAAATTCTAATTAAATGAATTGTTTGAAATAAACCCTAAACCTTATTTATTGTGCTCATTTAAGCCTTCTTTTGGTGTATGCAATGCAACTCATTTAGTTGGACTGGTGAAAAGGCCACGCAAGAGCTTCAACAAGGTGGAATTTCTCAACAATCTTTTCCGGTTCTTCAAGAATGTGCTACAAAGGTGCTTTTTCAGCATTCTCATATTAGTGCATGATGGTTCATACAATATTTTGATTTATTACAATTTTCTTTAATGAAGGCAATCAAAGCAGCATCCGATGCAGCACCAGATGAACCACGTTTAACTGGCATCTCATTAATAACTCTTGAAGGTGAGAAATCCTACTGTATTTGTTTGGTTTCTAACTCGTTGCTGTATTACATGAGTAACAATTTCTACCACAGGACTCTTCTCCTCGCTTAGTTATTTTTTCTCCGGGAATGGATGTCATGCAAATGATTATCAGCTTGCATTGCAACGTTCTGTCAAGCGAGATGGGAGTAAGTAGCATATTTCAAATATTTTCTTCAAAGAAAAAAATTCTGATTTAACTATTTTCTCACACTTTCTTATCCCAAGGATCATCTGAAGAAAATTGTGCCTTTTTATACTAGGCCAATATTTCTACCGTAAAGTGACATCGGTCATGATATGCATCTTTCAAAATTATCATGTTTTGGACTTTTTGTTTCTTAGAACTTTGAATTATAAAATGCTATTCTCAAAAGGAAGTTTCATATTATATGTAAAAGCAAATTGACATTTGGATTAAACCTTTTGGGTTTATAATTGTTCGTTTTTAACCTTTTTAGCCATTTGTTTTTATTTTGAAATTCTGCAAGGTCTCTTTAAATACTGTGTCAACAAATATTTTCTCGTTTTGGTGGCCTTGAAATCAATACGGCTTCTTTCCTAATTCTTAATTAGTATTCAGCGGTTACTAGAATTTCTTTGATGCTATCCAATGATTGCTCTCCATTTTTGTCGAATTCCTTTATCATTATTTTATCCAGATATCGCAACAGCATATTATTAGTGGCATCTTGGCTGCTGTATATTGGCTCTTTCAAATATTTAAAGTGCATTTTTCAGATAATGCTGCCAGTGACTGGACGATCTCTCTAAGCTTGTGGTGCTTAAACCCAGCTGTCGTCTTTAAAGAGATCGCAGAACTGTCTCTCTCTGTGATTCTAACATCTGGGTACGTATCAATGCTTTTGTATAAAGATGAGTCCAAATAAGTACTAATGCACTTGTTTATTCAGCGTTTTGGATTTCATTTCTCATAGGAATTCAAACCTAGGCTAAAAGACGTATTGTGAATATGGTCTGCTCTGAAGTTGGAGAAAAAACAAAAGATCCGCTCCAATGAAATTACACACACAATAACAGAAAACTTTAAAAATGATCAAACCTGATAGCGATTTTCTTGTAACTATATGATCAAAATTTTTAAAATGGCCGCTGAATTTTAAGATACCAATTTCTTTTAAATTTTGAAATAGACTTTGTTGAGGCACTCCCTTAGGCAACCTTCAACATTGCCACATGCCATAGTACTGAATTAATTGCATATTTTTCTGAGAGCACTTTCGGCGGGGTGCTTCTAAACCCAATGCCATGGCCGCCCAAGGGTGAAAAATTCAAGTTTTTCTAACATGCAAACTGACCCTCGAGATCACCACTGAACACATATAGTGTCTCACATGCATATAAAGCATTCTTAAGCACATCCAGAAGAATACAAAGATTCAAGAAATTTACCTGGGATCAGAATAGGTTGAACTAAGTGTTGAATCTGAAGTTTTTCTCTCTTTGTCTCTCTTCTCCATCGCACAAGAACCCCCTTAGCCCACTCTTGTGCTCGACTAGTTGTCGCTCTGCATGCATGCTCCTAGTAGGGTTTAAAAAGGAGAAATTGAGAATCAATGCATTTTGCCTTAGTGGGATGAGGTCTTAGCCCATAACAAAAAAATAAAAAAATAAAAATAAAAAAAGAAATAAATAAAAAAAAGATAAAAAAAATGAAATAAACCATCAACATAATACTTGTTCAAAGTAAATATTAGTATAATACAAAAATTTGGAAATAAATTCAAATTAAACAATCACTTAAATCTTAAATATGGCCCGAGGATCAAGATACAAGCAACCTCATCCTCACTTTAACATTCTTTAGAAGAATCCTCGTAGTTTGTGTTAGAGTCATCTTCAAAATTTTCTTCAACTATAATATTTTTTTCCCGACCCCCTTGGCATTGAGGAAACATTGAAAAGATTGGCACATACATACATTAGTACAAGAGGCATTCGAGAAGTGATGTTTTCACTTCTTAGGTGCTCCACTTTAGTCTGAATTCTGCCTGAAGATAACTATATCCGGGGTATGATTAGAAATACTTGGTCTTGTGAAGTCTACTTCAAAGTGCGGTTAAGTAGCAAGCATACTCTAATTAATCGACACTCTATCAAGCCTCTTGGCAATAATATGCACTTAGCCCCTTTTTCATGCAAAAGACTTTTGTAGAGATTGAAGAGGGGGCCAAGGATCTTCCTCTCCAGAGTACTTCTCGAGGGTCCACTCTCTCCCCTAAATAAGCTAGGTTATCGGTTAATATTGTGTTAAATGTAGTCTAAACAAAATATCAAAACAATAAAATGAAAAATAATATATTATAATTCAGATCACTTCTTTAAAAATTGGACCGAACCATTTTAGTTTCTGTTACGCCGGTCCAGCTTGGACCGGCTCATCCTGGACCGGCCCAGCCGGTGGACCGAACCATTTTGGTTTCTCAAGTTCTTAAAAATAAAGGCCCATTTTGACAATAATCCTCAACTATATTAAAGGCCCATTTTGATCCCTCAAGTTCTTAAATCAAAATAGTTCCACTTTAAGGGGTTGAGGGACTAAAATGATTCTTTGATATAGTTGATAACTATTTCACTCTTTCATAAAGAGTCAATGGGCTGTTTTGATCTTTTTTTTGACAATACTGCTAATATTTTTGGTCCAATAACCCCACTTAGATTTGCCATTAATATGCATATGGCACCTTTAACAATACTTGGTCTATCTTCACAAAACTTGTTGGGAATCTGTAATGAAATGTGTCCGTTGGTATCTTTGTAACTTCACCATTTCTACAGTTAGAATTTCTGTATTATTCTATTTTAAATATGTTATTGTTGCAAATTTCCTTTTATCAATGTTCTCACTTCGAATTGTGTGGGTATACAGGACGCTTTCTCCTGTAAGCTCTTTTTCATCCGAACTTGGTGTACGGTTTGACACTTGCATGGAAGCACCACATGTGATTAATACGGAGTCCCAGGTATGTATAATATTCTTTTATGTCTTTGAATCTTTCTTTGGATTTCTATTTTCAACGATTATCCTTTTCAGCTTTGGGCAGCAGTTTTCTCTTCTGGAGTCGGGAATATTCAGTTGAATGCTAGCTATAGATCTGCTGATAATTATGCTTTCCAGGTATGTTGTCAATTTGACATAAGTTCAATTTTTTTTTTTTTTGATTTTTTGCATTGGGCTACACCGACTTTATATGCTGATTAAACATTGCCTATCCAGGATTCACTGGGAGCAACGTTGGAGGAAATTTGTAAGATTGTACCAGGTGGTGCTCTTGTTTTCTTCCCTAGTTATAAATTGTTAGAGAAGCTACAAGCTCGTTGGCATCAGACAGGCCAATGGTCTAGGTTAAATGCACAAAAAGACTTATTCATTGGTAAGATTTCCCTACACATTGTATTTTTTGTTATTCTGTTTTACATAGGCATCCACTTAGATTTAAGAATCTCTAATGAATTCAAAATCACTTGATATGATTTTGATTATGTCTGCCATGTATACTGACAGCATATGCTAAGTTACAGGAGTTAGTGCATCTTATATTACAGACAATAAGCAATTGGAGTTATCGACTTTATAAATGCAATTACATATGTTTCTTACAGAGCCAAGGGGAAGTACCAATGAGTTTGAGCCAGTTCTGAGAGGCTACTATGATACAATTTCTGGAAAAAGTAAAAATGTACCAGGAAAAGTTAGACTTGGTCTAAAGCGGTCACTCAAACATTCTGGCTTTAAGGATTCTCATCAAAATCTAAGTAAAGGGGCTGCTTTTCTTGCGGTTTGTCGAGGAAAGGTGAGCGATCAAAATACCCTCATTTCTAGTACTTGCACAACCGAAAATTTGATTTATTTTTTTAATATATTTTCTTTACCGATGGGTAGTGTTTTATTATAATGTAATGTGCTTTTATCCATTTTGTGTTTTGAATGTTGAATTTCCATGGTGTTGTTAAGTCTTTCTGTTTCTCTGCTTGCTAAAGTTCTATGGTCTAATGGTTTCTCTAAGTTGTACTCACCGTTGAAATTGTTGCTGGTTCTATTTTGATTGTGGCTATGTGTGAATGCTTGCCATAAAACAGTAAGCATTTCAATGTATTTTTCTAAAATTACAAAAAATAATGCATATCTAATCTCAAACAGGAAATGCTGCATTGTCTAAAGGGCCGAGAGATCTAACGTGTATTTTTTGCACATATGTTCATTGAAGTTTTGGTATAGATAATGGTTGACACTATTTGTGAAAAAAATTTCATTACAACAAATTAATGGGCATAAGCGTTCATTTCTAACTTTGTTGAAACTCGCGTTAACCTGAACAGCATGTTATTAACTTATGGAGTCTTATGTGTTATATCTATGTTAATGTATCAAAAGTGAAACTTCAGATTTTTTTTTCTATAAAGAGTAGTATTACCTATTTTTAAAATTGTAAACGAGTTTCCATAAGGATTGCCATCACTTACTGTTACTGCTACATGTTCCTGTCAGTAGTACTGCATTTTGTGAAGAATTACATGCCGTTTTATTTGTGCTGAATTCTTAGTTTCCAAACAGATAATTGTTAACTAACATTTAAACAATCAATACCTATTGATTATCAACGATGCTCCAAATACCTACTTTTTTATCTTTTGCTGAAACACATCATTCAAAATGAGACATATCTATTGATTCATTTAAATGCTTGCTTACATTTAAAGAAATTATTAGAATTATTTGGTGGTTTGTTAACTGTGAATCTTTAATTTAATTTGATTGTAGTCATACTAGGCATCATACTAATTACATTTGAAAACTGTAATCCTTAGAATTCCTGCATTGAAGTGAGGGACATTATCTGTTCATTAAATTTCTTGATATATGCTGTTGTAAAATAAATGAAAGGTAATGAATATATATGTACTTGTTAATATGTTTCAAATGGACCTTCTAAAATTAAGTTTCGTATGTTATTCTTCCCATTTAATATGTTAAATTAAGATTTTATAAATATTCTTCCCAATTTGAAGGCAAAATCTTTATCGTTAATTTTTCATCATATTTGTTTAGCATCATTCTCTTGGTAGGGTTACAAGATCTATCTAGTTTTTATTTCCAATGAAGAGTTATTCACTTCTTCCCGGTACACTTGGTGGAATTATTCTCATAATCTTAAGTTGATTTATGTAAGAAGTTTATTCATTTTATTAAATTTCTTATATAATCTAAAAGTTCTTGCTAAGTTGATAAATATTATGTTATAAATTAAAACGATTTAAATGGATCCAAACAGATATTAAATTAATGATTATGAAACACGTGTTCCACAATTTACTTTGGATTCACAGGGTGGGTACCATCAATTTCAATGGGTGATCATTTGAATATAGTAGAGATTGCACATATTATTTAGACAAATAAGTATTGCAGTTCCGTTTGCCTCGGAGAAAATATGGATCTCATTATCATGGAAGACACTCTTAGTCTCTTCCGAATTGGTCAAGGACGCTCATTATCTTTTTGAAAGGAATTATTAACTCCTATTTCATTTTCATAGATTTAAGAAAGTTAACTTGCAAAAAAAAAGACCAAAAGAATCAATAAATGTACTAGATGAAATTTTAAATTTCTCAATACTTTGCAGAGACATTCAAAAAGTTTATTTTCTCAAGTCATGTATATCGTCATGATACCTAGTTTATTCTTTGAATAATTGTACATGTCCTCAACGCTTAATATTCGTTGCTTGTTTTTATACCGTCAAGTGCAACCACCTTCCTCTGAGAAAACTGAAAATAATATGGAAACTCTGACTTGTCATGTTTTATTTGGCTACAAAGGTATATCTTTATATTTATTTCTTTCTGTATTAATAATGCTAATAAGCCTAACCCCCTATGTATCCTTTGAAGGTATCAGAAGGAATTGACTTCTCAGATGACAATGCAAGAGTAGTTGTATCCTTCTCATAATATTGAAGATTCATGCACATGCACGCACATTCAGACTATATTTAGGTGTCTACGAGACAATTAAATTTAGTTATCTATCCTTGTCATCTTGAGCACTCATATTTTATACACAATGGTTCTTTAAAGTTAACCTTGACAACTTCAGGTAATTGTTGGCATTCCATTTCCGAACAAGTAAGCCTTCTCTTGACATTTTATTAGATCATCTAATGTTGTCGGTTATTATTTTGTCCTTCTAATTGTTTGAACTTGTGTTAGAAATGACATTCAGGTGATGTTGAAAAAGAAATTTAATGACACTTACAGATCCTCAAAAAATCTCATAAGTGGAAGTGAGTGGTATTGCCACCAAGCATTCCGTGCCTTAAATCAGGCTGCAGGTATATCAACTTATATTTAATTTATATGCAATTTTCTTGCCAAATGTTGTGAACGTTTTTAGTAAAAAAAATGAAAATGAACTACATTTTTCCTATTTAATTTGTTGCTAACTCATTGCAATTGAGTGAATGCCTCGGAAAAATATTTTTGTATGAATATTGTTGGAACCCCACATATTTATTGCAAAGATGGAAATTAGGATCCAATGAAATATATCCTGACGTCTCTTTCCAGTCCTGATTGCTCTCGCATGCTTTCTTAAAAAAAAAAAAAAAAAAAAAAAAAAAAAAAAAAAAAAAAAAAAAAAAAAAAACTATGCAGATTATGATGAGATCATTCTATCTATCCCTCTTTTCATATGTTAGACAATTATACGGGCAATATGTTTTAGCAATGCTATTATAATTACAAATCATTTATCTTATGTTTTCATGATAGTCCTAACTGAGTAATGATTAATTTTTGTAGGTCGTTGCATCAGGCACAGGTTTGATTATGGAGCCATTATTTTGTTAGGTATGACCAACTCTGCAATATATCCTTTCGATTATTTTCTGAGATAACAATCATTTCATGGTATAATTTTAAATATGGACTCAGCTTATTATTGCTCAGATTTACTTCAATTATTTCGGCTGTGATTATTGATGTTGGTAGATTGAAACTTACAGTATACTTGGGATGACGTAAACATAAGATCTTGATCATGTTTACCTCCTTACAATAGAAAATCAAGTTGTTGAGTACTTGAGTGTGAAAGTATTTAATAATTAATAATTATTATGTATGGTTGTTCAAATAAGTAGTTCATATGATTAGTTTTTTACATTAAAAAAAAAATTAAAAGCTTAAAGTGCCAAGCGAACACAAATAATAATTTTAATACTTATATTTGTTTCCTTTAACTGTTTGTGATATACTTATAAGTATATTAAATAGCATTTATTAGAACTAATATTTTTATATAACTCATCATCTTATTAAATTTTCATTATTATATTTACAAGCATTTTGTATTCCGTGTATCATATTTAAATTACATATAATTGTTTAGTTTAGTAAAACTGTTTTATTATTCAATTTTATAAGTATACTTATTATCATTTGAACTTTGTATGTAATTTATAGGTTGCTATATATATATATAATAGTAATTAGATAATTTTTTTTGCTTAGCATTTCTTTACTCTAAACTGTTCTTGTTAAATAATTTTTCAATAACGTTTTTAAATTACTAACATGCTTTAGGATTAATATATAATAAATTAATCATAAGTAGTTATTTTATTAATAATTAATTATAATTGATTATTATAAGTTAATTATAATTAATTTTAAATTAATTATAATTTATAAATAGTTAATATTAGAAAAAGAAGAAGAAAAGAAGAAGTAAAAAACAAAGAAAATAATAAAAAAAAAAAGAGAAAAAGAAAAAAAATGAAGAAGTGGGGAGAGCGTGATCCCTTTTGTTTAGTTCTAAATCCTGTACTCGACACTAGCGACGAGTTGGCGGACATCCCTACGCGCTCATGTAGCGTGAAGGGGACAAAATAAGTACCCATACGTGGGAAAACTACTGTGTTCTCTTTTCAACATGTGCTCAGAGACCTTTAAGCCCTCATGTAGCGTAGTGGGGATTGAAGAAAATGCTGCCGCGGTGTCACTCGACATCTACCTGAAGCGCTCATGTAGCATGGAGGGGAAAGTTGCTTCTTGATTTTTCCCCTAAATGGGAGAGACGTCGGGAGGCTGTCAAAATTTGGACTGAAAATATAAGGAATTGGGACTTGAACTTGCAAAAATTGATTACAGAGGACATGCTTTAGAACTCAAGTGACTAATTGAAATTTGAATCTAATTGAAATGAGAACTCGACTTGAATAAATATAAAAAACTTGAAATGCACTCTATGCAACTCAAACTCAAACAAATTATAATGAACTTGATTTGAATCAAATGACAAGGACTCGAGCATACAAGGGACCTGTACCGAATTGAATGCAAAGAACTTGAACTTGATTTGAATATCAAGTGAACAAAATTTGGACATTTGAACTCAAGCAAATATTTGAATTGGATACAGAGAACTTGAACTTGTACGTCGAACTAAACTTAAACTAAATACGGACCGCAGAGAATTGGACTTCAATGCAATAAATACACTAGGAGATTAAAATGTGAAAGTCCTAAGTTATGATTCAAAAACTCTTAAATAAACACCAACATTTAAGGAAATCAAAGGACTTGTGGTGGAATACTTTTTGATATAGGCAGCATACAAGCAAACATGTTGGACTCCTTTACAACCATTGAAAAATCAATGTGTGGTGAGCATCAACGAACAAGACCCAATGCAATTGAACGTTGAAGAAACTCTTAAAGCATACAAGTGATAAACACAAGTGAATGGAGGAGGTCAATACACTACGAATGTAACAAGTTGCAATGCATGCATCATATCTTGTAAAAGAGAAGTTTCCTACATTTGTATTGCATATAACGACCCTATAAGTGTCATTAAAGGAGTTGCGAGGAATATAACATTCGAACTATCAATGTCAACCCACTTGTGGAAGAACACAATAGTTCCCTGTGAACTACGACGACTGATGGAATTACTTATGAATAATAATAGTGGACATGTAGTAAGTATGGTAAATCCATTGTGGACTCAAGTAATATGTTCTCCGCAAGCAAGGATGTAAGGCTACAGTGAAGGCAATTGCCTAATGACGATGGCGAAAGAACTGTTGTATACACAACAACACATCTACGGACCACTGTAGAGGACCCTTGATCTATACAATACATTATTTAAAGTAAATACGAAAAAAGCCACAATGAGAGCAAATACTTGTGGGCAGATGCAAAGAGACTTCAACAAATGCAGTACCCCACAACCAACAACCATGCGCGAATAAATATATGAAATCCTTAATAATACTGTTGGCAGTTGATATGTGGAGTTCACATAAGTCTTGCAAGAAGACATGGTAGCCCCCACTACATCTATTTGCAAGCATTGATGGGAGTTTGTAGTGGGCATATTAGCTTGTAGATAACGATGATGGATAAGATATAAAAGCAATGATCTCTCTGCAATCGATATCAGATGTATAAAAGATGTAAGTGACAGTTGTCACAAGAATTGGAAGATATGCAAGCTCCTACAGGTCTTCATAGAAGACCTGTCATGCTCTCAGCACGCTAACCACAAGCAAACGTAGAAGAGTCCTCACTCATATAGTGGTCCACTCATAGGTGATGACTATTAATGTGCAGTGGATGTTAAATCATCCCTACAGTCGATAACCACTCAGCATCAGTCAAATACATCAGCCTTCTACAGGCAATGATAAAAGATCTGCAATATATATAATCTCTTTACAAATACAGATGTACGCATCACATTTCACCTGTGGATAAATGTATAAAGACTTCAGTAAATACAGTATCATATAGTCAGTTTTAGTCTGCAAATGAATACATCTACCTGCGGCAGTTGCAGATGTATTATAGGGACCAAAGCCCACAACAAAATGCATAAAGAATCCAGCAAATGCAAGTACCCACTAACCTTTGTAGGAGACACCCGTTGTGTACACGAAATGTCATCTATGAACAAAATGCCACATGACTACAATAAATGTAAATGCCTACGGGCCACTGAGAGAGACCCGTTGTCCACCTAATATGCCACCGAATTCGCAATCTTCATGCAAGCAGACAAAAGGTGTTTATAAATATTTTAAAGTACCCCCACACATGCACCATAATTTGTATATACATAGGTATATAAAAGAGGCAAGGGTAATCACAAAACCCGCATGGGCTTCGACGAGCGTGTTGTGAGAACACACATGATGTTTAGGGATGATGCGCGGGTCAATAAATAAATCTAAGCTTGAGCTCGATTCTTCTATGCAGGTAGATATGAGTCGACATGGCTCTAATCATTAAATAAATATACGATCACGAGGTCGACTGAGATATTTATTTATACATTCATATTAGGCCTTCAATAAAGAAAATTCACAAACAAAGGAAAATGACCCCAAACACTTTGATGATGGCTGTGTTGAATGAAAATGTCAACCAGAGGGGTTAACTCCAACCATTTCAAATGCCTCTAAAATTTCACAAAATTTAAATATTTTCAAGTGACCTCAAAATCACCTCGATGATGGCCGCGTTGAATGTAAATCTCAACCAGAGGGGTTAATTCCAAATGATTCAGGATACCATACCAAATACTTAAGAATCCAAAAATCATTCCAAAATCTAGACATAACCATCCAACCACTTAAAGCAAAATCCATTCACCCTCCGCAATAGTTTGTTGAGGTGGACAAATTGAAATTTACTTCAGCTCATATAGAGCATAGTCGCAAACATCACTAGGATTCATTCTTAAAAAATCTCCTGTTAGTAAGGACGTGGTATGTGTCTTCTAACCGACAGTTTTGTCGCCAAATGACACCACATGATACATGGTTATGACCCATGACCATTTGAACCGAGTGGTTTTTGCCTCCAAATGACACCATGAAATAACAGTTATGGCCAGAGTCAATATTTTCCTTAGTGGCATCAAATCTTTGAGATAAGAATCAATAGGATATGATCGATAGGGCACACAGCCTTCTATTAGCTAAGGTGGATTCAAATTTGCCCCATGAGACACACAATCCCTCCAAGTTTATAAGGTCCCCTTGGATGAAGCAATCTGATGGATCGGTTCACCCGGTCCGGCCTGGACCCGTGCGGGCCTACAGGCGGAAGAGAGGGGGGCGGGCGGACCGGCTGGACCAAGGGGACCCACCCACTTAAGTGGGGGTAATTTGGGGATGGGAGGAATTTTGGGGATGGTATGAAGAGGGTCATTAGGGTTTAGTTTTGGCATCATGAAAAGAAAAGTCTCTTTCTAGTTTTCTTCTCCTAGTCTTCTTCTTGTTCTTTTCTAGGATTTTCTTGTGGGAGATCTTGTCCTTCTCGAAGTGGACAAACTTATCTTATTTTCTCTTGGCTTTCTAATGCAAAGGTTTTTGTTTTTCATCCCAACTCTCTTGTGATTATTTCTCTTTGATTTTGGTGGAGAAATTCCTCTCTTTTGGGGGGAAATTAGGGCAAAACCGAAATTGTGAAACCCTAGGGCGTATCACAATCCATGGCTACAGACAAGGATCCTTCTTTTAGGTTGGGTCGATTACCTCCTCTGACTAAGTAGACTAGGGACCACGATGACCCGGGACGACGAAACCATGGTATCTTGATTGGGCTCATAATCACTTCCCCCCACTATCCGCTTTAAGTATAAGATGATGAAATTTTGAATATCAAACTTTCCAAATACCCATGCCAATGCTGCTACTATATGTCGGATACTGTGTATCTACGAGTACGACGTATTCATTGATGACTAGCCTTAATCGAAAGTTCTCTCTCGTGACCGAGGGTGGTAATTAACTATAGGGGCTTGCGCCTATAGGAAATCATAACTCATATCATAAATTTCTTGCAAAATGAGGGCAAAATTTCTGGTTAGTGTCTTATCTACAATCCTATCTGCCTTCCTGAAATTTATCCCATAACTTAATTTCGTTAAAAGCTCCCCTAAAAAAAAAGCAAGGGGGTGGAGGTTGCGGCCGAATTTTTCGGAGCCCACAAATGTATTTCACAATCTAGAAGTGTTTGCTCACTCATTATATGAATAGAAATATGAGGCGAGCATATTGATTATACATTAATGACAAAACAATAATGTTAGAGTAGATAATTTACATAAGTTTGAGTTTTTCATATTGTTCTTAGCATAATTTAAATTAATCGTTTCATAATAATGCACTTCCCAATTTGTCTAAATTGGATCCTTATGCGGACTATTAGGAAAGGTCAGACACATGTATTCATATATTTTTCTTTTTAGGATAATAAACATCCTCTACTCAATAAGGATTTGATGTTATGAAATTTAAATGCAAGTTCAAAACTATCCATGAGCTAGTGTCCTCGCTTTTTTCCAAGAGTTAAAAATATCAAACCATCCATCCTCTTGAATATCATTAAAAATAGTGGCGTGTGTGATTCCAATATTTACATAAATTGGATGCATCCAAGTTTTCACAATGAATGATTTCAATTGCATGAGTATAAAGTTTCAAGTGTCTTGGAATTAAATATAAGGATTGTTGATGATATTTATACATTATTTGATGGTTTTGATTAGAAAATGCATTTATAAAATTAGATATTAAAGTGATATGCCACTTAATTATTTCTTTGTTTTGACATATGCTTTATGAATTATAAAGTTATTATTAAATTAATGAAATTTTATCTATAATCAGCTTTCATTTTTTAATTCACAATCAATGGTGTGAATTTGAACTTGAAGATGATAAATCCGTGGGTGCAAAACTATGACTTGGAAAAAAGCAATCATTCTCCTCCTAGGCTGTCTCCGTGTATCTATGTAGTGGTGGAAGCAACGAAGGGCTCCGTATGCCTCCACTCTATCCTAATATTTAAGAAAAGGTTTTTACAGCTTTGTAGAAAATGTGTTCTACCGCTACGTATGTGTTTGTTGAAATATTTGTGTTGATATACTATGTCTGATATCTTTTATGTTTTGTGCATTTTGGCTTACTTCCAGATGAGCGTTATAGGGAGCAACGTAATCTTGCTTATATATCAAAGTGGTTGAGGAGCTCAATTAAATTTTATAAGAGCTTCGATGACTCATTGGAGGGACTGCAAACCTTTTTCAGAGATACGAAGGTCTTATATTGATAACCTACTTTTGATTTCATTAAACTAAAATTTACTTGATGTTATTTTGTGATGATTTATTTGACAGAAACTACAGATTTCGGATGAGGATTCTAATGATCTTACTGATCTTAATAATAATAAGGGGAAATCCGAGCCTTTTAAGTCATCAAAACAGGCGACTCCACCAAAGGGGAATCAGAAAATAAATAAGTCCAGCAATCGTATCGAAAAAATTGATTCAGATAAGAAGACTTCAGCCAAGATTAACCAGTTCACAATAACATCAGCTTGTTTAGTTAATGATAGTTCTCTTGGCTTCCAGCCACAAACTCCAACAGTTAAGAGAAGGGCTGGAGAGTCAAATGAGAAAATTTTAAACTGCTGCACTTTCAATGATTCTGAAAATAAATCTCTGAACTGCTTATGGTAATTACTTCTATCTCTCTCTCTCACCACTCCGGGCTTTTATTACTTACCCTTAACCTGCTTTGTTTTGTGATTTCAATTTTCTTTTTTGGCGTGGAAAATTGAAATTATTACAGGTCTCAATCATTCTCCCCTGGAAGCAGTCCAGATTTACCCATGGTTATTGATGAAGATGTCAGAAGCACTGGGCAAGACACTTACCCAATTTTCCGGAATTTACATAAGTTTTCAGATTTCCCAACCTCGTTAACATGTGGTAAAACTTCAAATGGATTAGCTTCACAGGATGTTGGCATATTATCAGTTACACCTGCAAAAATAGCATCTTCACTACCTTCTGATCCTAAATTGGAAAATTTATCAGTTCTCCAAAACTTCCATCAGTTTCCAGAAATTCCTTCCTCCTTATCATGTGGCACAACTGCAAATGAATTTGCTTCTCAGGATATTGGCCTATCAACCGTTACTCCAAAAAAATTAGCATCCTCAGAGCCTCCAGACGCCAAACAAAGTCAGCATTGTGTTATGAGCATAAGCTCTTGTAATCAGAAGAAAAGGAGGTTGAAGGTCTTGCAGAACAATAGCTATCCTGAAATGCACTTTTCAAATCTGTGTTTTGATGAATCAATTGCTCAGCTTGCTCTTCCTAGCAGCATCAATATTCCTAGAAATATTGATCCAAGAACTGATTATTCCTTGGAGGATAATGAGAAAGTGAAACTAGAGCTGTTTAAATCTGAAAGTCAGGATATCATCTTTCAGTCTTCTGATATTTGCAGTGAAATAAAGCTGCATGTTAGCTGCTCATCCTGCAAATATCCCTTGGGATTGCCTAAGAACAGATTTCTTGTTAAAAGCCTCATGATACTATCATCAAAACTCTTTCTGTCATATATTCGGACATATGGAACTCATGGTTCCTTTACGCCAGAGTGTCTTTCAAAGACTCCCCCGACAGTCATAAATGTCTTAAGCTGTGAAATGTTGTCCATCAACGAGCTAATCATTAAAGGCAATGTGAACAATTTCTCAAAGCATGGAGTATGGTGTGAAGAAGATGGTTGTGTATTCAAAGCTATATTTTGCCCCTTTTGCAAGAATTATGATACTTGTCTTGGTGTCCACGTTTTAGCAACTGATTCCTCAAATGCTAGCTTACTAAACAAGGTAAAATTTTATAATTATATGTAATTTATGCAATGGCTCATGCAAAATTTGACACCAGGAACTTGGGAAGGCTTATTTTATTTCTTCCTTTGTAGGTTCTCTTTTATGCAGATTGCCTATGCATTAGTGAACCAAAAACATTCAACGAGGTAAGCTTATTTATTACAACTTTTGTCCACTCTGATTAAAATTCTCATCTAAAATTATCTGTTCTTTATTACGTTTATCATTGAGTGCTGAATTTGATTTAATTGACCATATTGGTACATTTATCAATTTGAAGATTCAATTTCTCCCCATTTATGGCAAAACATTACATTTGAGTCTCTTAAAGCTCATGCTTTCATTGTTTTTTCATCCTCAGAGTACTCTGCCCAAAAATGATAACCTTCTTGGTGAATCTTCTGATCATATTGAAAATGAGAAATATACTCCGCTCGAAGAACCCGCTTGTGATGCAAAGCAAAAGCCAGCTGCAATTATGAAATATACTGACAATCCTCAAGCCAAGAAGCCTGCTTTCAGTCCTAAGGAAAGGCTCGTTGATCATAAAAATGCCGACAGTCATCAACCTAAGCCAATAGAAATTGAGAAATTTACTTACCAACCTCAAACTAAGCCAGTTAAGTTTGAGAAATTTCCTTCCAATATCCAAAAAATGACAGATCAAACTGTGAAATTTGCAAACTGGTCTCAGCCCCGGGGCTCTAATTCTTCAGCCACAACAAAATCAAAGGTTTGAAACCATCATCATCATTTTTTTTTCATTTTTCATTGAAGGATGAAAATTTTGGTTATATTATGCAGCTTAAACTACCCAAACGGCAAGAAAATTCCTCCAAAAAATGATGAATTCACATATGATGGGCAAATTACTTGGAACTCTCAGCCTTCAGATGATGATGATACTGCCACGCATTTCATCACTCCTACAGTCATAAAAATAGGTATTTTTTTTAATGCGAATATGACATGCATTCTCATCAAAATGCCTACATCTCGCATTAATTATTCTCTACATTACAGTTTACTGCATCTTCTATGTTCCACAGTTCCAAGTGTTAGATAGAGCCCTGGAGCTGAACTTGTTGTGTATATATATGTTAGGCCCATTATTTGATGCAAACTACTTTGATTTTTTTGATCTGATGACATTATTGAGCAGATTAGTTTTCTTAATAATTCAAGCAAAAATTAGTTTTTTTTTTTAGTTGAAAATTTTCGTTTGTTATATTGGATCTAATGGGATTGAGAGATTTAAATTGGATTTATTCTTCAGGTTGACTTTCACTACGTACTTTCAGCCGAAAATTATTGAAATATTCTAAATAGTTGAAACTAAGCTAAATCATCAAATTTTAACTCAAATCATTGAAACTATTTAAAGTTAATTGAAATTCATTCTGACATTATATTTATATATTTAAAATTTAATTAAATGCTTTATTTTTTGAGGAAAATTTTGTTGAATATTTTATAAACGTTGAGATAAAAGCAATCGAAGCCAAATATGATAAACAAGTATTAAAACATTTGGAATCACCATAACTGATGATTCAATATGGGAGAAATTGAATTTTTTTAAAAGTGATTATTGTTCTTCTATTAAGGCTTCGTTTGGGACGGTTTTTTTATTGCTTTTGAAAATGGAGTTTTAGTAAAAAAATTAAAAAATTTGTACTATAACTCTGTTTTAAAAAGTAATGAAAAAGCCGTCCCAAACGAAGCCTAAATATGTGAAATAGTTTAGATGCAAAGTTTTTCTATGACATTTCTGTATGGAAGACGCAGTATTTAAGTGGAAGTACAGCATAGTTTGATCTCATTGCGAGCAATAGTATATATGTGTTTTTTGTTACAGCATTATAGAATTAACTTAAAAATAAATATAATATTTCTTATATGAAAAATTTGGGAAAGTGAAGCTCATTGGGATCACTAATATTAGTTAATGATTATTAAGAATATCTTTAATTACAAAGGAAAAAAAAGTTAATACAATGTTCTTAATAATCAGAGTTAAATTTGATAGTGGAATGTCTAAAGTTCACAAAGCAAACAAAGGCAACGCCTGAATAGCTTGCCAGCTGATTCAAGCCCTAAACTCTTAACAACCTTAAAACCTCCAAAAAGATGAAGATTTTAGTTTCACATAAGAAATGAGTGAAGGTAAGATCATCTCTTTTTAGAATAGATTTTTCATCCACAAGCAATCAAATGAGCTGTAATTTCAAAATAACCATGGCAACTTACTCAAATAATTCTATTTATAAAAAATAGAATAGCAACAGTTTGAAAGCCAGCCTTCTAATGTCTACGAAAATCTTGATCACACCAAGAAATACTTTTAAGCTTGGGGAACAAACAATTAGAAGTTCTTAAGATCATAAAAGCACCATTAAAATTGCAAGATTTTGATGAAAGCCCTGTGTTTTATCGCAGAACAATCTTTTTTTCTGGTTCCTTCTGTTGTTATATCTGTGGTCAGTCTGATGGCAAAAATGTCTCTAAAGTTCCCAGGAGTCGTCCATCTTTTCCATCATGTGTTCAATTCCTGTATAATACATCTTCCCCGCCAAGTTATCAGTTCCTGCACACGTTCATGTCATTGCATAATTTAATAAATGAATGAAAAATAATTTCATTGACGGGTAACACGAGAAGTTATTGTGTGCGGAGACTGGACAGTAAGATTCGTCTAGATTTGTTGTGCTTTTACCGGCCTTTTGCTGGCCTTTTGCAAATGCTCAGCAAATATACAATTATGGAAGTACTAATTGAAGATTTGTTGCGCTTTTTCTGCCCTTTGGTAAAAGCGCAGCAAATAATTAGCAAAAGTGCATTCATAATTACATATTTTCTGTCATTTTGTTGAGTATTTGCAAAAGTGCAGCAAAAAAATAGTAAAAGCGCAGTAAATCCAAACATTTCTCCAATTTTTATATGAAGTTAATGTTTTACACGTTAAATTAACTAACACAAAGGGGAGAGAGAGAGAGAGAGAGAGAGAGAGAGAGAGAGAATTTGAAATATATATAATATCAAACACAAAATAAACTTTTAAAATACATGTATTGCATCTACGCTATATTTTCAAAATAAATGGATTTTGAAAACATCCAATGCAACAGTCCCCTAATGTATGGCAACTTTGCACTGCAAACTGCTTGCAACAAACCAAAGCACCCTAAAACCAGAATCAGAAATACCTTTTCTTCATAAAAAGTTTAAAAAAGAGTCGATAAGGAAGATTCATACTTGGGTTTGAAAGAGAAGCTTCGAAGAATGATGAGTAGTCTCGCAATCTGTTGGTCCCTGGGTTCAATGAATGCACTTCAGAGTTCATTTCTTTATAATGGAATGAAGGATTAGTCATCTCCTCGGATATGATTGTTTCTGCCTTGGCTTTCTTATCATTTCGGGATTCGATTTCTATCTCAGCTTCAGATTCAGTATTGGATGGTGCTGTAGAACTCTGCTTGCGTTTTGATCTCGCCCTTCTATTCTGGAACCAGTTGTAAACATTTGTTTCAGAAATTTGACCATGTTTTGTCAGCTCAAGAGTTACTTCCTTTATCTTCTGTTTGGTTGGCGTTCCATTTCCCTGATCAAATATGTTCTCAAGAATTTGGAGCTGCATGGGTGTTGGTGTCCATCTTTGTCTTGAAGCAATTTTATGACTGCTTGATGTCAGCATGGGATCACAATACATGCTCCCAAATCTCATTCCTAATCAAAAAGCAAAATTATTAACAGTAGCCTCATTTCATCATTTTGTAGGAAGTAAAAGAAGATCATAGCAGACAAAGGGGACAATAATCTCGCTCTCTCTCGAGAGGAGAGATTATTACGTGCGGAATCCGGACACAGCATTGTTCGATTTTGTCTATGTGAACATTAAAAGTGCAGTGTGAATAGTACAAGTGCGCCTTTACTATTCACAGAGACAAAATCAAACGGTGCTTGTGCCCGTACTCCACACGTAATAATCCATCCAGAGAGAGATTATATATCTCATACACGAACACAAACATTCCCTTCAGGCAACGGTTAGTTGATTAGATCTGTTCTTCGCTCTTGTGAACAAGACATAGACAAGTGAAACCGTGTAAATTTTCATGTTATTTTTTTATGCATGACTTTTTTTTTTTGTATTTATTTTTTTTGTTCATAGTATTTACTCCTAAATTAACATTCATATACTATAAATTTAGAATTACTCTTTTGCCTAACGAGAAATTACTACGTACGGTCATTGGATGGTCCAAAGGCGAATCAGGATGCGCCACGTCACCCGGTATACAGCGGTACATAACAAAATGATGACGTAATACGTTCTGATTTACCTCCGGACCGCATGTAATAATTTCACTTGTCTAACATTATTGATCATCTTTGCATCGCTGTCCAAGAACTTGCATGACTAGTCAAGCAATCTGACTGCATGGCCAGTACAAAGGACATTGCCGCACTAGAGTACAAGCTGTGTGATCATGGCTAACCACCTTGTTGACCAAAGATTGATTGACCAACCGCAGAAACATTTGGTCAACAAAGCCGACCAGTCAAAGGCTTTTTAGGGTTAGTTTGGTCTGTCAATTAGTTGTGCGGAGCAAGCCTTCCAAGCATAAATACATGCCATGGTTGGGGGCAATTCAGACAATTTGCCTGAGTTGCACACCGATTGACCATACCCAACTAATGTGAGTGCTAATCATCCAACCATTTGATCAAGATTGAATGGCCTTGATTGCTAGGTTTAAGTCATTTGTCAAAACGGATTCAGTAGCAGCTGTATCTCCATCGGGCTTATTTAGAATAAGAATTAAGAATATAATTATATCAAATTTTGATTTGCAGGCACTTTAATTGTCGAGACTTACAACAATTTAGAGCAATCAAAGTGTTTTTTTTCTTATTAAAAAGAAATTAGGAGCACAAATACAGAATAAGAAACTTGCGCTTTCTTCTGAAAAGAGAAGCTATACAGAGTTAGCACAATCTTCTCTCTTTTTTTACATAAGCTGCAGGCCTATAATTGATAACAAAAATCTAACATACGAAAGGGTTTGGACCAAAAAAAAAAGGAAAAAAAAATCTGAAGGTAAAAATAGAAGAACCAGTGAACAGAAAGACCTAATCGATTGTGCTAGTTAAAATGGGAGTAATTTTATGGAATGCAATAACCAAAAAAATTAATGTTAAAAAAGAGTGAATCAGAAATAAAAAACAGTTAGCTCCACCGAGTAATTAGAGCAGGTAAATTCAACGAAAACCTAATCATCAAATCCTCTCAAATTAGAAAAACGCATCCCAATTTATCCCCCCCCCCAAATCCCTCTTTTTCAGATCCGAAAGCCATAAATCTCCTTCCGGTGTGTGCATTCCACCAAACACAGTTCGATCTAAAACCCCAGAATCAAATCAATTAGAAGCAATGAAAGGAGAAGAAGAAGAAGAACCTGCTAGTGAATCCTGCTGAGCCGAGACGGCCTTATGCATCTCGACGAGCTGCTCACAGATTGTGGCGTACACTGCGATCTGACGGCGGAGAATCTCCATTTGCTCGTCTGTCATCACCTTGACGTATAACACTCCTTCCCCCATTTCTTCTCCTCTCTCCTCTTCCTCCTCTCTTCTCCTCTCTTCTCCGTCATTCAAAGAAGCGGCGACCTTCACCCACTCCATTCCTCCTCCCCCTCTCTTCCCCAATTCACCTCATTTCTTCATACTCGTCTTCCCGAGGAAACACAAACAATCGAGTTCTCTGGTAGTCCGAGGAAAGTGAGAAGATCAATGGAGAGAGAGAGAGATAGAGAGAGAGAGAGAGAGGGGGGAAGGGGAGTGAGAGAATATAAGGAAGGAGAGAGATTCTCTCTCTTCTGGTAGACTGCTGATGATTCGTTTTCAAAGCTTTCTAACGGCGGTTCGGCTCAGAATGATTTGTCGGCCCGAATTGAACCATATCGATTAATTTCGGTTAATTCTCACATATTATATTATATTTTTTTTTAAATTAAAAAATGTATAATTGATATAAATAGTTCGGATTATTTACAATACCATAATTTTTTTTCTTTCAAATTCATAATAATATTGGGATAAATATATACATTTTACATAATTAAAATTATATTTTTATGTCATTTTAATTATTTGCATGTAAATTACTAAAAATATAAATAATTAATTATGAAATATTAATGCCTTCGAATTGTTTATTATTTTTTACATCATTAAAAATATATATATGTTTTTTATTTTATATATTATTGCTCATTAAAAAGACTTAATTAAGAAAAAAATATTATTTTATTAAATTCAAATTTTAATAAATAATTAATTGACCAATAGTTTTAGTCGATCAATAATGGTTGTATAATGTTTATTGATCATATTATGAATTGATTAAGATTATTAAGACAAATTTAAATAATTTATTGATTTTTAATTTTGGTTTTGTTTATCTGAGCAGGTTTAATTGGTTTTAAAAGTTCAATTATTTCATTAAAATTGTTTAATTGGATTAAATTATGTATAATAATGATTTCTATATACTTCTTTTAAATTTATGAAGTGAGTTATTTTTAATATTTTGAAATAGAACATTTTCTGTTGATTTTTTTCTTTTATCAATATTTGATATTTTCAACAAAAATTATGTGTCAAGATTTATTTCTACATTAATTTAAAAAAATGATGTTCGTTTACCTCTTAGGCTTCATCTAAGACAATTTTTCTTGCTGTTTTTTAAAACAATTTTCTAGTACAAAAATTAAATTTTTGAACTAAAAAATTGCTTTAAGAAGCAGTAAGAGTGTTTGTGTCTGCTTAATCATATGCAGCTTAGGTAATCCTGATCTATTTTATCCCTCTTACTATTAACTTATCTTCTTGCGTGTAAACTTATTCCATTATTTTTTAAAATAAAAAAATAATGTAATAAAATTATTCCATTGTTCGTGTAATTTATTTCATTTAAATAAAATAAAAAGCCCAATTAGGGTTTTAGCTAATGCCCTAAAGAATTAGCTATATTTTTCGATCAACCACCACATTTGAAACCAATGCACCACTCCTCAATTATTTGTGCACATTGCAAAAGATTAAGGAAGAAGATTCCTTTACTAGCTATGACCACACACTCAATAGTAATTAAAAGCTTCCCATCACATCTCCTTCAAACTTTTGCTTGGTGAACCATTAAAGAAAGGAAGCTTTCTGTTTTAGATTGTTGTCATATTTTATAAAATTGATTGTAAAGTTATTGTAGCAAAAAAAAAAAAAAAAAAAAAAAAACTTAGTTATTTTGATTGTAAAAATAGTTTTTCATCATAAAATATTTGAAAAATAATGAAAAAGAAACAACAAAGGAATAGCCAGAAAAAATTAGGTTGCCGTATGCAAAACGAAACAGTGAGAAAACTCTCTCATACAGACTTTTTATGTATTGATGTATGAGGTTTCACTTTCAATATCAAGAAATTAATGAAATATTTTAAATATACATCTATCATATTTCTTTCAACTAATAAAAAATATTTAAAATTCTAATTGAAAAAATATATTAAATGAATTATAATGATAGGCCCTAATATTAGGCATGTTGATATATAATTATTTTTTAGAGCAATGATATAATGGAAGCAAACTTTCTTTATGAGCATGTGGATGTCACATTCAAGTGAGATGGATAAAGAGAGGCAAGGAAAGAAGTGGAGAGCATGTGCATATATGGGTCCATATTTCCTTCCCTTTGGTCAAGCTTTATGAATAAATATTGTCATCAAAATCTTATGGACATTAGATTTGGTTGGAATTTGGTTGTTGGATGGGTGAAATCTATGCATCTATTTGCCTAATTGGTGTTGTTTATTTAATTACTATGTGAGACAAATGCATATGCAATTGGTATAAGATTTGCGCTCGATTGATTGCTAAGTTTAATTTAAATCATGATTAGATTTGCTTATTAACACTAAAAGACAAATAAAAAATATTTCTAATATTCAAAGATGATGGATGAGTAAGGAGATATCATTGTTACTAATTTTCACCACACACCGAAGATACACGCACTGAGATTTATAGAAAGAGAGAGTATGATAGGAAGATTAATGGTTGATGAGAACTTACGATCCAAAAGTCATTGAACTCCTCAACAATGATTTTGACTCGAATGATTAAATGACAAGGTTATATATTTTGGTTGAAAGAATTTTAAGTATGTTTTCTCAAAAAATAATACATTGTTTTGTATGTAGTTTTCGATTTTTTCCTATTGTTTTGACATGAATTAAATGCAAACTCACACGTACATCATATATATAAGATTCGAATACAAGATCTCTTTCTTGTTAGCTTGAGCTCCCAACAAATAGATCAAAGCGAATACAAATCTCTCTCTCTCTCTATATGTATATGAGATTTGCATTCAATGGGTTTTTAATTTATTATTTTTTAATAGTCAAGGAACAGTTCATAAGGCAGGTAGGGTACAATAATAATAATAAAAATAAAGCTACATATTTTTGTTAATGTGAACTCACATAGCCCCTTTTCCTTGAAGACAATGACAACAGCTCCCTTAAGAAAAAAATCTAGCAAATTGAATATTATTTCTCAACTTATTTATTTAACAATAAAAAAACCAACTCCATATGAAGAAGATTAAGATTTATAAATAATTCATTTAGTTTCTATTTTATGACATAAAATTATCACATATTTTCTAAAAAAATGGGCAAAAATAAATAAATAAATAAATAAATAAATAAATAAATATAGTATATATATATATAATATTTTTAACTATTTAAAAATTTTTAGTTAAACAAAAATTAAGTTGTCTAAGAGAGATTAAAGATGATTTAATACAGTAAAGAGACAAATTTTTATGTTTTATGAGAGTACAATAAAGTTGAGAAAAAAGAGCATCACGCACAGATAGACAACCTTCAACAAGACAAGACGGTCAGTAATTGTTATGTCTTCTAGGGTTTGCATTGCAACGGATAAGTGAATCATGAATTTGCATTTGACCTATAATGATTGACTTATTGAGTCAAGGGAATTGTTCATTCAATGCACCTCTAAATTTGTCCAGAGCAATTAAAAAAAGACTCATAAACCAACTCCATAAGAAAATATTGAGAAAAAGGGTCAAAATGGTCTCTTGACACTTACTGAAAAATCAAAATAGTCCCAAATTATATTAAAATATCATTTTAGTTCCTCAACTCCTTTAAAATAATCTCATCATGGAGTGCTTTGATTCATTTTTAAAAATTTGAGAGACAAAAATGATCATTTAATACAGTACGTTGTGGACTATTTTGATCTTTTATAAAGAATCAAGAGATCGTTTTGATCCTTTTCTTATGCTGTTTCTTGAAGCACATAATATTGCAATTCATCATACTATCTTGTAAGATAACACATTAATAACCAGACATAATGAGGTAAATAGTTACAGTTATGCACACAAAGAATGCACTCTTACTACGTCAAATCAGTCTGTAACCAAATGAATGAGCAGGGGTAGAAGAAAATGTTGCAAAAATACTACTAATGATAACATAATGAATTAAACCAACCATTCTGACAATAAATCATCCATCAACTCTCTCATGATCACCCATTCTATTTCCCTACCCAGAGAACTTATATCTTCATGAGCAGCAGTTAACAAAGGCATCAACTTCAGATCCCAGACCACTATGTCATCTATAGATTGGGGTTGTTCAACCTTAGGATTTGAATGTATCTGAATCTGAATCAATAAGTCATCAAGCAATTTTCTTCCATGAGGTAGTTTTGAGAGATAGTGAGACAATCTTTTCGACATTAATTGGGTCATAGAAGAATCTAGCACACTCGATAATGCCTCATTCACTAAATCAAACAACATCTTACGATCGATATCGATATCCCCAAGCCTCATTGTTGAGCTATCATCATCCACAGTCTTGAGTTTTCTGCACTTCTCCTCTACTTCATCAAAAACACAAGAAGAGATTGGTTTTACTTGTCCATCCATCCTTGAAATTGCTTGATATAAAGGCCAACAGGACCTGTAAAACCCTGAAACAACAAGGATATCTCTTACATAAGCTTCTCCACAGCCTTCAGTTAGTATTGTTTCATTACTTTCATAAAGTCGAGTTTGAGTTGCCATTCCACATCTTTCTCTCTCAACATGTACTGAACTGCTTCCAAACTCTGGTAGTAGCAATAGGTAGAAAAAAAAGCCATAACTTTCCTCATTAGAAGATAAGTGAAAAAAATGAGATAACTTTTTGAAAACAAGCGTTCAGAAAAATGTCGCAAGATAAACAAATTGAAATTAATTCATCTTGATATTACCCATTTATTTAGATAAATCCTTTAATTCTATGACGTTCTTGGATATCATAGAGTTGTTTGTAAAATATCTCTCATGCTTCAAGCAAAAAGAAAATACAAATGAATCATGGTACAACAGCATGAGGAAATATTTAATATGTCAAACTTAAATAAAAAAAAGATGAGTTATTATGCTCAAAAGAAAGAAAAATAAACAAAATTTCATATGAAACTCATAATGAAATTTGCAATATTTGACCTTGGTTTCATATGGATGGTGTTATGTATTGATTTAGTTTTAGGTTATGTCGTTCATGCATGCTATCACACCCTTGTTAATCTCTATAAATAGAGGCATTGTATGTTGTATTGATTTGGGGAAAAATCTGAATAAGCTTAGTTTTATTTCCTCCAAATCTTTGTGTATTCCCTCTCCTCCCTCTCCCTCTCTCTCTCTTGCAAGAAGAGCTCAAGATGAGCTCTCAAGATCTTCCTCCTGATTCTAACAGATGGCATTGCTAAAGTTTTGCACCTGGCTTGAGAATATCAGTCACTTATCTAGTATGAGATACAGTCGTGCATTTAAGAAAGTTAACAAATAATTGAATGAAAAGCCATGAAGCTGATACATATAATAGCCATAACTGCAGTAAACCAGTAGTTCTCACCTAATAAGGACATGCTCAACTCGCCTGAGACTTGTGCTGATGAATGACCATCACCAAAAGGATCTTCAAATGGGGATACAGGACTATGATGCTCATTAATCGGACTGCAGGAAAATGAGGCAGGGCTTGGTGGTACTTCAGTCGAGTTGTCCTATGTTTGAAGCAAATGCATATAAGAAATCATTTCCAAGACAAAGAAAATCTTCTATAGAATTAGAATGAAATTATCTTATGATACCTGCACAATACCAAAATTTATGATAGCTAAGGGAGCAGTCTCATTCGACTTCACATGATGAACTGTGTCTACAGTTGATTCCCCCATTGAAGAGGCCTTCTTCCCAAAAAAATTGCCCCTCAGACCCAAATTCCGTTTCAGATTTGAAACTGTGCTTTTGATGCTGAAGGCATATTTTTTTCTTTTTTTGACAGCTGCTGAATCATTTTTAGATGCCTCATGCTTCTGAAAATTCTGAGCCTCAGGTGCTACTCGGCCATCTTCTGCAGATCCAGTGCCAGAAGCAAAAAATGATCCATCAAAGTTTGAAAGCGACATAGCTTCATCACTCAATGGTACCATTTTAATCTGTTCATGTCTTAAATGCTTAGGTATTGATTCATTCACAGCCTTCTTTTCCTCCCAAAAACTAGCATCTTTTTCCTCCTTGGAGAAACCAGAAACTGATCTTGATATAGCCGTTTCTTTTGCTGAGAGTGACTTCCCAATGTTTTCATCCTCAAGCATAGGTTCCTTCATTTCAGTATTATCTTTTAAGACATTTTTCAGTCTATCATATATGAATTTTCTAGTCTCTCTCTTGATGGACTTAGAGGACTCCTGTTCGTCAAAATGGAATGCACTCCTATAAGTTATCAGAGATTGTGATCTTCGCAACATTGCCCCATGCTTTGCTGCTTCCCGAGCCTGCTGTTTTGCATCTGTTGAACTTTCATGAAGGGAAGTATGACCTACTCCCAACCTCCTGATAGAACCATTTTTTCCCTTGCCCTCCATTTCCAATCTGAGCCTTTCCTTCACCTCCTCAAGAAAATCTTCCATGCTACCACCTTTTTTAGCTACCGCGAGTGAGCCATGCCACGGTACTTCCATTTCATCCTTCATATCTGAACCAGGTTTGAGAATCACAATCCTTGTGGGAGAACAAGGTGTACACCTTTTCTCCTGAAACTTGGCAGTGGATGCAGGTTCAGAACTATTAGCTGCTTTTTCTCTGCTTATAGCCATATCATCTTCTATTTTGGGCATCAAGCAAATGTTCGTATATGCTGCCATCTTCTCTTTTTTGAGGTTTTCCAGTGCAAGAATTTGTTCATTTTTAAGTTCTTCACTACTGTATTGTTCAAGGCTGCTTGAAAACTCCCATAATTTGGATTCTTGCCATGCTTCAAATTCTTTTTTAAATTTCTGTAGTTGCTCTTCTTGTGAATGTTCTCTGCGGTGTGGTTTTGCAGAACTAGAGCTTTTGGTTGGAGGAATGGAAAACTGCTGCTTATAATTCAATGGCGATTTCGCTGTGGTCAAAAGAAGTGATCTCAGATTGACTTTAGTACTCTCACAATGTGACATTGTTGGACTGTGTTTCCATAAATTTTCATCTAAACATTCCATGGCTTCCATTGCTGGTCCTGTTTTTGGCAGCAAAGTATCCATGTTCATTAATCGAGCAACAACATTTTGTCCGCCACATTTAGATTTTTCTCTATTATACATCTCATTCATCAACATCTTTACAGAACTTCCATCTTCATGAGAATTATTTTTTAAGCTGGATTGTTTTACCTGAAAACAACAGTTACATCAAATAGAAAGAGCACATTCAAAAGCTTTCTATCTTTCAGGATACAGTAAAAACTACTTTGTTTTGTTTTTGTTACTACACCTAAAACAAAAATGGCACTGAAGAACATACCATTTTAAAATCAGAAACAAATTTATAGATAAAAACCATAAAATGAGGCTGCAAAGTACAATGAAATTGAAATGATATGAGGTAAGTTGTTTGCAGATAGAAATATCAATATGCAATAATCAAAACCATGCAATCTAACCATAAACTAGAAAATAAAAATTCCTCAGGATTAACAGAATGTAGTCCTAGACATAGCAATCATGCTCGGCTTACATCAATAGAATATCAGTTTAAATTTTATGCAATTGAAAGAACAAAATTTCTGAAGTTATAAACATGAAAAACTGATCTGCCAAGGTCAAGTCTGAAGAACAAAACAAGCTTCAACTTAGAATAAGGAAGTTCTACTAACCTCAAAGTTCTCATTAATGATTTGATTTCTACTGGCTGTTTCCAGAGGCAAGTCCAAGCCATTCATCTTGTTGGCTGATGTCAGAATGCACCAGACTCTGAATTTCTCTTATAATTTATAAACACTTCGCCATCATCATCAACATCATAATGGAAACTGCAGCTGCAAAATCAGGAATTAGCATCAATTGGTGAATCTTACAAAATTCTTGATATTTTTGTGTGTTTGTACTTATTCGGTTTTTCTCTTGGTGATTTCAAGTAGATTGAGAATTACTTCCCGCCAAGAAGTATTGAAACCTTTACTTGCAGCTACATAATAGCCATTGATAAGCAGAGAAAACAACAGTGTGGCTGCGCAATCCGTTACTCAAATCAAGAAATAGATGAATGAGTAAAACAAAAAAACAAAAAAATTGCATGCGATCAGAGAACTAAGGTATAACAGGATTACCAAAGGTTTTAACAGAATCTTATAAACGAAAACAAGTAATATGGATAATGAGAAAGATTCAAACAGATACTAGCGAGCGAAAAATCTCAACTTGTTTCAGTAATCATAAAGAATACTATCCAAATCACAATACCATGTATCTTCCAGACAAAAACTTCGCATGATCTTAACTTAATACTCATCTATAATCTCCTAAAATTTGAGTCTTACCACAATTATGAGATCCTCATGTCATCAGTCTTTGAAAAGGATTCAATTGAGAGAGGGGAGAAATGTTAGAATATAGAAAGGCTGCTGCGTCATGAACTGTCTAGCCCTTCGAAGAAGATTTCACTATACTTTCTACTTATATATTGCTTGATTACTTTTATGGAAGCTACTTTTACTCGGCCAATTCGAAGTTTGTTTTGATTCAACTCATCAGCTTGGGAGCTAATTTATTAGAAAATAATATAAAATAAATATCTTCATTTATTTTTAAAAATAATATAAATATAATTAATTTGTTGACCGGCTTCATAAATATCTGATTTTTCCAGTTAACAACGATGATTTTGTTTTTAGCACAGAAGAAACAATTTAAAAAAAATAAACAAAGTGTATGAGCTAATGATTCCTCATAAAATACCCAATCAATAACTTTCACAATTTAAATTATGGTAACACAAATATATTAAAAAAATTAAAGTTAAATAAAATTTGACTATTTTGTCTGAGGTAAAGCTGTTTATTATATTTAAAATAATCATTAAGGTTATATTATTAATAAACTTGTTGGAAGATATATTTATTTGTTTTGCATTTTGTTTGTTGTGAAATCACAAATAAAAATTTAAAAATTTGTTTGGGATAGCTACAACTTTTATAAAGATGATTGTAAAACTACTGTGGAGAAAGTAGCTATGATGATCAAATAATGTTGGCCAAATTTCTATAGTTCCTGGTGGTAATTGTCAGCATCAATCATTGTGTAGAGCTTTGAAGCTTTACAAATCATTAAACAGTCTTCAATTTTAGATCATTTTCATATGAAGAATGTAAGTCTATTTATAAAACTTGTTTGGAATGATATTTTTTGTAATTTTAGTCAAAATCACCAAACACGATATCGTAGTGGAACTTCCCAAAACACATAGTTAGAGGGAACAAAATTACTTATCTAGAAAACCTTCTTAACCAGCCTACAGTAGGAAAAAAATTCACATGGCTTATTCCAAATATAAAAGTTCACTATTTTTATGTATGAGAATTTAAATTTTTTGTACTAAGAAATTGTTTCATAAAATAACAAGAAAACTATCCCAAATGAAGTCATAATCTCAACATAAAATAATTGACAATGAATATAAATAAGCATTTTTATAAGATTTTTTTTTTTAATATTCCATTTTATTTGCCTATAGCCTAAGTGGTATATTATTGATTCGGAGGAAAGAAAAAAAAAATAAAGTTATTATTATTAATTTTTAAAATTTTAAAGTCTCCAATTAAATATTAATTTTGTGAAGATAAATATACTGGAAAAGAGTTATCATATATTACGGCTAAGGTTGGAAAGCTTGTTTGTTTTTTGTTGGCGGCATTTTCGCGTGCTATTTTGACTATTATATTCCATCTCTGTGTTTTCCCCCTTTCTTTCTATTAATAATTTAAATACAAATTTAATTGTTTCTTGTAACAATAAGTAAAAGAGTTACAGCTTATGAGAGGATTGGTCATTTGCCAATTGGGGCCTACATTTGGCTCAATTTTTATGAAATTTGGGCCCACCTAATTTCATACAAAATTTGTGGTGCAATCATACTCCAATTCGAACATATGGGCATCTAATGATTTGATCTTGAGTTAAGTGAGCACCGGCCGATTATAGCCTTACTCTTGTTGTTCTCAATTCGAGTCATATATGACTCATTAACTTTGATTTAAAATCAGTTTAGTCTAAAAGTTCATGTAACGTCATAACAAATATGCATTGATTGGTCGATTAGGTGATATTATGTGTGTGTCAATAGCTCAAGGACTTAAATCAACTTGTTGTGCACAAGGACAAGCGTTGAGCGCGAAAAAGAGTACATAATGCATCTAAAATCCGAGCAGTTGAGCTTATGTAACACGAGTTGGGTGTGACAAGTGTGGTTTCGAAGGCGGGTGAGGAAAACAAACAAGGCACATGTGACTTGGTACACGTGGGCAAGAGTTCATAAACATGATGCTAAGCACATGTGAATAGAATGTTGGTGCACGTGTGAAGTTGTTTAGGTTTCTAGGCTTCTTGATCATACTCTCAAGCATTTGAGCCACCTCAATTTTTAAAATAACTAAAGCTTTGTGAATATCCATCCTTTAAAGAGTTTTCCATAGCTCACATGAGAGACATAATTTTAATATTTTAATCATGCCTTTGACTTTTGCTCTGACCTATTGATGAAACGTCCCAATGGAAAATATATAGAAAAAGTGTGGAATTTGGAAGATAATGCTTAGAACTAGTAAATGCTTATGAGCATCTTTTGTGAAGGAGCTATGCATTATGCATGTCAGTGTCTTTTTACTACTAATTAAGGTAATATGAATTTTATTTTAAATATTGAATAATTTTGAGTTAAGATTATATGTGGCTATGCATAGATTGGCAATGAGTTGAGATTATAATATTTTGCAGTTATTTTTATGTATGAACTTTTATTCATTTATTTATTGTTATTGTTAAATTTGGATGTAAGATGTTAAAATTTGGATGATGGAGATAAAAAAGATCATAATCGGCGGGCAACAGTAGTAAAAAAGACTGTTGTATGGCAAAGGAGGTCAGAAAAATCGTACTCAGGTGATGATGGTTGGAAGGATCGTAGTCGATGGGCGACGGAGGCAAAAAAGACTGTTGTCATTCAATGGTCATGTATAAATTCATCTTTAGTTGCGGATGGGCAGTAGTTTGATGATAGTTGTTGGCCTGGTAGAAATTTGGCATTAGTCGGTTGTCGGGCAGAAGTCCGACGATGGTCTAGCGACAGTTAGGCGACGGTGGTCGAGGAGGAGTTTGGGGGAAAGAGAACTCAAGTTTCTCTCTCTTCCTTTTTCTTCTATCCTTCGGTGTAAATCTGGCTTCAGTTGGTAGCCGGGCATAAGTCCGGTTTTAGTAGACGAACGGTGAAAGTTCAGCTGCGGTCGAGGAGTCGAGTGGCAAGAGAACTCTAATTTCTCTCATTTTCTTCTCTTCCTTGCTTGGCCCCACATCCTCCCTCCCTCTTTCCTCTCATGGAAAGAGGGGTCTATTTATAGTTTTTTGAGAGTGACATAGCCAATAAATTGAAGGAAGATCAAGGATATATTGGGAGTGGTCTGAATGGACGGTCGATATTGATCCCCTTGCTAGTGGATTGTTTACTGGTCATTTGAAAGATTCATGATTTTAGAATTTGACAATCTTAGGTTCGTTGGATTAGTCTCATCGAGCCGCTCGATTTGACCATAAGCATGTCACGTTTAAAAGTCATTTGGTCATCCAATTTGTGGTTTGAACTTTCCAACAACGCTTCAAGTTCGATTTGGACCCATTTTGGCTTGGATTGAGTTGAATTTGGTGTCGTCGGGTTTGAATTTTTAAGACGTTGAGTTTGCCTCGAGATTCATGCCCGATAAAGAGGATGATATATATATATATAGATGGATTGGAAGATTTAAACTTTTTTTTACGTAAATTTTATCCAACAATTTAAATAATATTTAATAAATTATGCTAATTTTTATTAAATTTATGATTATAATGATGTTATATATATGTTTAAAATGTTAGTTTCAATAATTAGTAAGGTTTTATTTAAGCTAGGTTTCGACTTGAACTTGCAAAAAAAAATTATAAATATGATTGAATAAGATTTGAAATTCGTGTAATATTTGAACTTAAAATGGGTTCAAAGGGCTCTAATTGCATTAGGTAGTTGATAACCAGCATAAGACTTGTCAATATTTATGACATGAATTATTTAATGCATTGTGTTAATACTAGGACGTTCTTTGGAAGCGACATGCTGTATGTCCTAAATATAACGAGAAGGGTGCAAGGGGGGTTACATCAGCGATCGACTGCAGTGTTAAATAGGCAAGGGTTCCCATATCATGGACGGATGTGGGCAAAGAAGCTAGTTTATGATACTAGAATTCATATAGGATCTTAGAATGTAGGTTCTCTTACATTCAAATTAATAAAATTGATTAATATTATGATTCATAGGAAGATAAATATTTTATGTATTTAGGAAACTAAATGAGTTGGAGAGAAGGCTACGGAGATTGATGGTTTAGGATTTAAAATTTGATATTTTAGTAGAAGTCGTATTATAAATGGTGTATGTGTGATTATAGATAATAGTTTTAATGATAATATTATAAAAAATGATAGAATTGCAGATAAGAATATAATTTTAAAGATTATTATTGATGCTAAGATTATTAATATTATAAGTGCTTGTACTCTTCAGGTATGCTTGGATATGTGTTTAAAATTAAAATTTTGGAATAATTTAGAACAATTAATTCAAAATATACCTCTTGAAGAAATAATTTTTATTGTAAGAGGTTTAAATGGACATGTTGGTAGAGAGATAGCAAATTTTAAAAGCATTTATAATATCAATGAGTTTGGAGCAACTAATGAAGATTGTAAAACTATATTAGATTTGCTCTAGCTTATGATTTTGTAATTGTAATACCTTATTTAAAAAAGAGATGATCATCTCATCACTTATAAGAATAAACATAGTAAAACTTAGATTGATTATTTTCTTATAAGAAAAATAGATCATTTAGATTGCGAAGATTGTTAAGTTATTCCGAGTAAAAGTTTATGTATTCAAATATTCAATAGCGCTTATTTGTTTTGGACTTTAAGATGAAGAGGTAAAATAAAAAAAAATATACTTAAACATTGTTCTGAGATTAGATAGGAGCATTTAAAGAACACCAAAAAATTTTTTGAGAGTATGACTCGAGATCTTAAAATTTTGTCTATGTATGAGAAAGTGACTGTTATGTGGGAAAAAGTAACCAGTAATATTAAGAATGTTGCAAATGATATGCTTGAAGTTTCAAAAGAAAAATCTCGTAACAATAAAAATAGTTGGTGGTGGAATCAAAATGTGCAAGAAAAGATTAAAAATAAACAATTTTGTTATAATAATTGATTTAGATGTAAGAACTCAAAAAATTGAGAAATATATAAAGAGGCTCGTAAGATGGAGTCTAAGAAAGTAATCTACGATGCAAATATTTTAGCTTTTAATGATTTATAAAACAGATTAGATTCTAAAGAGGATTATATATATATAACAAAGATATATAAGTCGTAAGGATTTGTTCAAGTGAAGTGCATTAAGTATGAAGTTCAAAAAATAATTTTCTTAGAAGAGGATATTCAACAAAGGTGAATAAGATATTTTGCCAAGCTTTTCAATGAAGATTGAGAGAATATGATTGACTTTAGTGATCTTACCACTATAAATGAAAATATTTTTTTTTTTTATTTTTATCGGCATATTAGTAAAATTGAAGTTAGAGAGACTTTAAAGAAAATGAAGTTTAGAAAAACTATTGGACCTGATAATATTTCCAATAGAAATGTGAAAAAGCTTAGGAGATGAAGGAAATTTCTTGGCTTACCAAACTTTTTAATATTATTTTGAAGACTAAAAAGATGCCATATTAGTAGAGAATGAGTGTGTTGATTCCTATTTTTAAGATTAATAAAGGTGATGCACAAGCTTGTGCAAATTATAGAGGAATTAAGTTGATCTGTTATACTTTAAGACTTTGGGAGAGAGTTATGAATATAATTCTAGTCAATTTGATATATTATTTACATTTTTTTGATTTAATTTAGATCTATTTTAAATTTTTGAATTTTCTAAGTCCTAAAAAAGGCTGAATTTTGTCATGCTTAATTTTCTGACCTAAAAAGTTCTAAATTCAATGAAATTTAAACCTATAGTGCAAAATATCACTAATTGTAATGTTGCTAAGTTTCACCCATATCAGGTGTGTGCACGATTTCTTAGGAATTTTCTAAGTTGTCTAAATCTTGTCTTTAATTATTTTTCTTAAGTGTCACTAATGTTCAATCGGGTCTGAAACTTTGGTCATTTAATCCTGACATTTATGCATGCACACCACACAATTACATAGCCTAGTTCTACAAATTTGAAGAGTTATGAATTTTTCAAAGTTTTGGGTCCAAAATGGACCCATTACTTTGCAAATTCAAACCACAATCATCTATTTGGTATCTTAACCAAATAAAAATACAGGGGATGCCTAAGATGCCCAAAAAAATTTCACAAAAATTTGTATCTAGTTTGACTATTAGATTGTGAGAAAATAGTTAAAAAAAAAAAAAAAAAACAAATACTGATAACTTGCAATTCACTGGTTAATATGGTTTACTTTTAATCTTAATAAATAATAGACAAAATTATCTTTCAAAAGATGCCAAAAACATTGAATTTGATAAGAAAATTAGTTTTTTTATGAATTCTCAAAGTTCTGGGTACTTAAATTAATTTTTTAAATAAATTAAATCGACTTAACTGCCAGCGTAATGATTGCGTGGGACATGGTGCACCGTTGTCATCTCACTAATCCACATGGCAGCCAACCGGCACCGTCGGATTGAAGCCAAGTGACGAGGATTTAGCCACGTCGATGTGCGTGTTTCAATCGGCTCGGGTTAAATTCTCAACTGCCACACACATTTTTGAAGAGATGATGTGGCATCTTTCGAGCCGTCCGATATTGCAGAAGAAAGGATCAGACGGCTCTAATCGATTTATAGGAAAATAATTCAAAATGAACTAAAATTTTCAAACAGCCATAACTTTGTAATTACTCAACCAAATTTAACAAAATTTAAAACATGGCTTTATGGGAACATAAATTTTCATTGTCTAGAGTTTGGAGGATCCATACAATGAAAATTTTGAGCATTTTTAAATTGAAGATCTATTTAAAAGTCAAGATAACTTACAATCCAACTAGTGGATGTTTTATTTCTTGGGCTTCTTTTCCTCCTGGTGAAGTCCTCTACAACTTTTCTGAAGACCCCAGAAGTTGGTGACAGCTGGATTTAAAGTTGCTGATGAAAACCCTCTTTCTCTCACTATCTTCCCCTCTCCTCACTAAAATAGTGATTTGAGGCTAGGTTTAGTGGGGAAAAGCTTGGGAAAGCCTTAAGAGCTAGACAAGATGGGGAATGGTTTTAAAGAGCTGGAGCTGGAGTTGTTTGAAATGAGGATGAATGTTTTGCATTAGGTCAAGTTTACTTACTTAACCCTTGGCTTTTGGAATGGGTGGCTTAGATTCATTAGGGGAGAGCTTAGATACATGTCATGTGTCCCCTAAGCTGTTTAAAGCCAAGGAATAGGGCTGGTGTTTGAGTGTGACTTCCCTTGGTCCATGGGGAGAGGACCATACCTTTTTCTTCATTTGGCTAAACCAAGCTTAAGCTTGGTTCAAGTGGCTGGTTTAGGTCTTCTTAGGAAAGGAAATGAACCCCTTTACATCAGATAAAAGTAGTTTTAGATGAGGGATTGGGATTTCCTTGGTGGCATGGTGATGTGGCCATAATTTAATCCTTTCCCATGGGCTTGGAAGGGTTTGTTGACTTGTTGACCTATTGAGTAGTTGATGGTGACTGGGATAGGCCTTGCGATGGTCAAAGGTGTTGTAGGAAACTATATCAAGGAGCTTGAAGTTAATGGATTGAACTTTGCATGGGTGTTGAGAATATGTGAGGGGTTTGACCATGTATGGGAGTTTGACCAAGTCAAATCCATGGGAATTTTACTTAGGGATATGTTAGACATGCTTGGAGTGTCCAATTGAAGGATTTTGAAAGGTTGAATTGATTTAAAATGGCATCAAAAATTAAATTTTACATTAGTGTATGTTAAGGGATGATTTGATCAACCAAAGTTGACTTGGTAAACTTGCACAAATCATGAGTTAGATTTGGGTCCAGCAAATTCTAAATGATATTTTAGTGCCAATGGAGGTGGTTTCATGCTATGGTGAAGTCATTTGGGTTGAAATTGACATTTGAACTCTTAAGGGGTTATTTGGTCAACTATGATTGATTTGGTCAAACAAGTTAAACAAAAGCCTTTGTTTAGATTCAATGCGCAGTGACAGAAAGAGTGGAGTAGCTCCAGGCTTCCAGTGACAGATAAGATTAGAGAAAGTCGACTTAGATGGTTTGGTCATGTAAAATGACGACCTTTCGATGATCCTGTTAGGAAAATAGATGTATTATATTTGGCCTATATTATGAAAGATGAAGGTAGATCTAAAAAGACTTGATTAGAAAATATTAGAAATGACATTTTTTTTATTAAATTTAAATAAGAATTTGACTCTTAACATGACACAATGGAGAAAAAGGATTCATGTATCAAACCCCACATTATGGGATAAAGGTTTGATGTTGTTATTGTTGTATATTAATTACATTCTAATTATACTTAAGGCTAACAAAAATATCACATGTCTGATTTGGAAGGCAATATATAGACCTCGATAATATGGGACAAGATGAAGGAATTGATCTCAACTATTGAAATAAAATTCAAAAGTCAAAGTCAATTGAAGAGAATGGGTGTGTATACAGAAATCAATAAAAAATTAAAAAGAATTATTTAGATTTCAGTTGCGAATGATCCATGACATATACAAAGTGGTTAATGCCGAGATTGCATTCTTTACATTTCATATCAAACAAAAAATCAGGAATGTAGCTTAAAGAAAAATATATTTACATATATAAAAGGACCACCAAGTGATACATAAATAAAATTGAGTACATGGATCAAGTGATACAAACAACTGGTTAATGCTGAAATATTATGCATTCTTCACATTTCATATATATCAAATAAATAAGATAAGAAGAAACAAGTTTGCTTATTGGGGACGAATATCGATATAAGAAATGTGAGCAATCTTATGCCGATCGGAGCCTCCATCCTCTCCATAGCGCTCCTTTAACTCTGGATGACATTCCCCAATTATTGTTAGACGTTTCAAAGAGGGAGGAAGGTTCGGCAATTCCTGAAGCATCGGAACATCCTCAATATACAGTTCCTGAAGTGAAGATAAGCTTTCCAAGGAGGAAGGGAGAGACTGTAAGGACGCGAGATATATATAGTTCAGCTTACAAAGAGATGAACTAATATTCAGAAACCACTCCTCCGCCTCATTTGGAAATGAAACCAGCTCATCATTTAATGAAATACTCAGTTCTTTTAAGGAGGCGATACTTCTCAACGGCTCCATTAGCAACAGCGATGGATCACTTATCCAGAGATTGCTGAGCATGAGATGGCAATTATTACTGGTCTCCACTTCTCGGTATCTTCCGCCAGAGATCAGATTGGGGCAATTTGTAATTGACAAGTATCTTAGTGCTGCAGGTCTTCTAATTTCATCAGCCAGAGGAATAGGATTTGAATTGCTACAAAAATTCAAAGTTGTCCACCCAATTCCATCTATCTCCAACCTCTTGAGCTTAGAAGGCAAAGAGGGCAACTCTTTCAACTTGGGGCAGTCAAGTAGAAACAGATGAGTTAAGCAAGGAAACAAACATCCATCTTCAGCAGCTACTCCTGCCTCAAACCAATCCTCTAATGCATCTAAGTAGCTAATATGTAACACTTCTAGCGATGGAAAGGCATGGTATTTATCATTCCCATTAAATTTACTTTCGAGACATTTTACTTTCGGCATTTCAATAAGTGTCAGTGTCTTGAGAAAGGGAAGTTGCCCAAAAGGTGGAAGAGTTTCCCATTCCCTGCAATTTGAAAATTCGATTTTCTCTACATTGAAGATTGGATTGACATTGTTCATCCATATTGCAGACCTTGCACCCATGTATCTCTCTATGCTCAGATTCCTTAGACATTTTGGTGGTTGAAGGTTGTCGAGCATGTTCTCATCCAAATCGATGTTCCTCGAATCAGTGTCACTCCAACATAAGGTCAAATCTGTGAGCCTCCTCTTTTCACATAATTGGGCATTACGAGCCTCCTCGGCGTCCTTCACATTTTCAAGACAGTTTATTCCTAATTTGCAAAGATCATTCAAATTCTTGAACTCATCAATTCTATAACCCATCTCATTTCTAAGATCAAATATATGCAATTCTTGAAGAGACTTTAGCTTCCCAATCCCACATATCGATGAAATAATATCCGTTGGCAATTTCATGTAACGCAAGTTAGAAAGGTTATTAATGTCACTTGGTAAAAAATCATCAGATAGGCTTCCCATCCATAAGCGATCAAAGATTATGTATTGCAAGTGATAGAGATTACTTAGAGATCTTGGTAGCCTGGTGACATCAACTACTTTGATCTTCAAATATCGAAGATGTTTCAAATATTTAATCTCCTCATGTATCATTTCCCATTCATCTGTACATTTGTATAATACACATATGTATAATACACGCAGGCTTTTCGATGCTTTGAATAATTCAATAAGTGCACTCACAAGATCCTGATTAGAATCTTCATAGAACAAGAAAAGAGAATGCAAATGTCTAAACTTCTCAATCTTTTTTAAGATGTCTAGATTTGTAGTTCGAACAGACAAGTGTCGAATAGTGTCAGAAATTTTGAGGGATAACTCTTCATCATTCAAAAGTTTACCGCATACCTGTGCAAAAAATTTAGATGCCGACTCATGTATTAAATCATGCATCTTGTAGTCATCTCCGACCTTGTCAAATAAAGCTTTTTTGACTAAAACATCAAAATACCTTCCTCCGATATCCTCCATAGTCATTCCTTGAGACGGCTGAATGAAACCCAAAGCAATCCACATTCGGACTAAATCATCTTTATCAAACTCATGATCTTCTGGGAACATACAACAAAATGCAAAACAATTTCGTAGATGATTTGGGAGAACTATATAGCTCAGTATTAAGATGGAATGGATAGAATTCTGATCAAATAAATTGCTTTCTAGAACTGTCCTCCAATGCCCTTCATTCAAGTTGTCATTCAGAACACCACCAATGACTTTAGCTGCCAATGGCGAGCCTAAAAGCTTTTTAACTATCTCTCCAGAAATGGCTCTTAATTTTTTATGATCATCAGGGCGGTTCTCTACACCAACAAATGCGTGAGAGTTGAGGAGCTGCAAACACATATCTTCCTCTAGCCCCTTTAATTGAACTATTTCCACCTTCTTTGTAATTACTCTTGCAAACATCAGCGCAACTGCATCCGTTCGAGTTGTTACCAGAATCTTACTATCAAAACCCCCACAAGCTAGAGGGGCGAGCACATTCCCCCATTTACTTTTACACCGTTCCTCCTCCTCTTCCCAAACGTCATCAAGGACCAGTAAGAACCTTTTGGACATCACCTCCTTCTTAAGTTTCCCTTGAAGCGCATCAAGTGAATCCAAATCAGGCTTCTTCTTCTCAAGAGATTCCAACATATCTGCAATGACTTTTTTCACATCAAAGTTGTTGGAAACACAAACCCACATTTTAAGATTAAATTCCTTTGTCATTTCATCTTCATATACATGTTGCAAGAGAGTTGTCTTCCCCATACCACCATGGCCAACTATAGATAGAAGAGAAATATTACCGTGAAAATCAGATCCCCGAGGCTCATTTGATGGATTCCTCAACCAATCCATAACAAGCACCTTCTCCTTGCCTCGACCGATGAGATCATTTTTAGGCAAGGATCCCGTTTCACGTGCTCCGTGCAGCTCAAGCTGCTGCTTCTGAAGCTCCTTCTTTGCGTGTTTTACAAGATGAAGGAAAGTATCAATACCAGTTGTTGAAACTTTATGAAGTTTCTGCACAGCCTCCTCCAGTCGCTTCAAGGTGGGATCAATTTTGAGAGCACGTTTGCCAATTTTAACAAGTCTTTTCTTCATGGATTTCATGATGGAACGCACCCTTCTCAGCTTCTTGTTTTTGGTCACCTGTTTTTCAAGTTCCATGTACTCCAGCTCATCAAACACGTCTTCCGCATCATCAATGGCATCTCGGAGCTGCCATAGCCATTTGTTAAGAGCTGGATATTCTTCTGTGATCTGCTCTTGGCTGGAAGCAAAGTGGACGACAGCTTGGATCTGGGGGAGATTCTCTTGCAGCTTGCCCAGCTCCTCCTTCATGCCTGTCTGCCATCTGACTTGATCTTTCAGGTAACGGAAGCCAGCGCTGATGACCTTATCCATAATTGGATCAAGAACCATATCCGCCATTGCAACCACGATCGATGTAGAGCAGAACAACTGAACAGTAAGGGGCTCTTTGGTATCGGATTTATGTTGGGATTTTAGTCGGATTTACGCTAAATCCAGCCAAACGGTTTTTGTGCGCGCGTTAAATCCCGGAATTTCATAAATCCCGAATTCAGGGATTTACGGCTTAAATCCCGGATTTACTAAATTCCTCGGTTCGGTGGATTTAACGGGATTTTGCCGAAGAAGCGCGCGAAAGGGAGAAAGTTACCTTCACAGCTAGCGAGCTCGTGTTCTTGCTTCCGATCAAAATGTGGTAACTTGCGATCGGACAGGAGGGAAAGTCGTAGAAGGAGCGAAGTCGAATAGCCAGGAAGGAGCTGAAGAAGCGACGCTTGCAATCTAAACACCTCCTGCAAAGCAACGAAGCCGAGCAGCAACGACGAAAAGTGAAGATAAAAAGGCAAACCTAGACGCCTTATGTTATTATTGATTAAGTTAATTAATATAATTTAAATTATTAATAATTAAGTAAATTAATTAAATAACTAATTGTATTGTTAGTGCATAAATTAATTATCTAATTTAATTTAATTGTATAATTAGTAATTAATATTAATTAATTAGCTTAATTAATATAACTTAAAATATATATATATATATATATTATTAAGTATATATGTTAAGTACAAACTACTCATTAATTATTACTTACACAATTAATTTTATATTTAAAAATAAATATATAAAGTTATATTAATTAATCTAATTATATTAATATTTAATAACTAATTATACAATAAAGTTAAATTAGATAATTAATTTATGCACTAATTATATAATTAATTATTTAACTAATTTACTTAATTATTAATAATTTAAATTATATTAATTAAGTTAATCAATAATAAATTTTAGAGGCATCTATGGTTTGCCTTTCATCTTCTCTTTTCATCATTGTTGTTCGGCTTCGTTGCTTTGTAGGTGTATAGATTTCATGTGTCGCTTCTGCGGCTCTTTCGTGCCTGTTCGACTTCGCTCCTGCAACGACTTTCTCATCAATCCGGATCGGAAGTTACGACATTTTGATCGGAAGCAAGGACAGGAGCTCACTGGCTGTGAAGGTAACTTTCTCCCTTTCGCGCGCTTCTTCGAATAAATCCCGTTAAATCCGGCTACCCCTCGGATTTACTAAATCTAGGATTTAAGCAGTAAATACGTAAATATGGGATTTACCGAATCTCGGAATTTAATGCGCGCGCAAAAACTGTTTGGCTGGATTTAATGTTAATCCGACTTAAATCCCGCTGTAAATCCGATACCAAACAATCCCTTAGGTTTCGTTTGGACAGTTTTTTTTTTATAGTTTCTTACTGCTTTCTATCTAAAGCAGTTTTTAGTGAAAAAAAATTCATTTTAAAAAATTCTTATACTGGTAAAATTATTTTAAAAAATAATAAAAAAGCTGTATCAAATGAAGCCTAAGCTGTCGGGTAATCATTAGTTGACTACTTTTTTTAAGTATAAAAATTTTTGAAATGCTTTGATGCTTCAAGATTGAATATTTTTCATCATGAGACTAAATTGTTCTTGTTAAAATATAATATTCAGTTTAATATTTTGATACACATTTGCATTGTTAATGAGCCTTCATCTTCTTTACATATTCTGAACAATATCCTTTTTCATGTCGTTTTATAATTTAAATTAATCTTTGGGATGTATTTAAAACTTCATTACAATTAAATTGATTTTTATTTGATAAGCAGAAGCTCAAGCCTTCAATGTAACATCAAGTAAGTAAATGAAAATAATAATAATAATAAAGCTTTATTGAATACTTTTCTGGCTGGCAAACTTCCCCATCTTCTAATCAATTGATGACATTAAAGTCCAAAGGATGTCACATGCACAAAGACTTAATAATGTAGATCACAAAGCTCCAAAAGGTTTTGACATTAATGACACTGATTAAGACTCTTCAATTTAATTTAAGACCTCAAATCTTAATTAGCCCCAATTAATTCTCACTACAATTGAAAATAAAAATTAGAAATTAATTTCGTTTGAACAATTTTTTATTTGGAAAAGTTATAAGGGTAAAAAGATTTGTAAACAGATCCATTACCACCGCTGTAAATTTCATTAAATAAAAAAAAAGATTTATAAACAAAGGCCCAAAAGGATGCCAAAACTAAGATCCCAAAGCTTTAATCACCAAAATAAGCTGCAGGTTGCAAGGCAACCCCAAAAAGACAAAATAACCCAAAATTTAGTCACTTTGAATGCAGCAAAAATAACCAAAAAACAAATTAAGAAGGCCATGAGGCCTGTCAGACATGGGAGAAATGGCAGGAGGCTTCCTGCAAAATCAATAGAAAAGTTCGTCATCCGGTTGCCAAGCAAGGACCATCCATAAGAGGGACAACAACAACAACAACAACAACATCAAGCCTTTATCCCACTACGTGGGGATAAAGGCCACCATTGTCCAACCAAAATGAGAGAATCAACCACCAAAGTTGCCAAAGCAAGCTAAGCCCATCTAAGGGGTTCTGTAGGAATCTTGCCTTATCATTGTCCGACCAAAACGATCTGCCCAACATACAAAAAACATCCAGCAGCAGCAATAACCACAAATAATAGTACATTCCCAAAGTCTGGAGCAATATAAGGATAAAAAAAATTAGCATAGACAAGTTAGAAATTTATCATAATTCTTCCGGCAGCTAATTTTACCCTAGATGACCCTTTTAATCAAAACCAAATTAGTATTTAGAGAGGAGATAGAGTCATCATACCTTCTCCCCTTTCTTTCACGCCAAAGGAAACAAATAGAAGCACAGATAACCAAATAGAAAAAAAAAAATTGCATCCATTTAAAGGTGAGAATTATCACTGATGCCGTTGAAAACCTGTATATAATGTTAAAGTCTAAATAGCAGCCTCAGGAAATAGAACTTTCAAAATGCTAAAATAGAAATCAAACAAAGAATAACTGAGAAACAGTTTCAAGTTTATAATTACAAAAAAGACAGGGCGAGTAGAAATGTTAACTCCTAGAGATAAGTTGGTTTGCCGATAGTGCCACAGAAAAAAAATATCTTAGACATTCACTAAACCGAAACAAAAATTACACACAAACAAGAGATTTAGCTGAAACAAAAACTCCACTTTAATCATAGAGATTCACAACAACAATAAGAGAATAGTGAACAATATATTTGAGTTACATGCATGACTCGAGCAAGAAAACATGAAAAACTTTGAAAATAGCATAAGAAGAAAAAAGTTCGCTTTTTTTTGTTTTTGTTTTTCTCCAAATCGGTAGAATCGGTAGAAATATCAACATAAGGAGTGTGAGCAATCTTGTACCAAACGAAGCCTTCAACTAATTGGTAGTGCTTATCTAAATATGGATCATGACATTTATCGATTGCTAGAAATTTCAAAGAGGGAGGAAGGATTGGTAATTCCCGAAGTTTAGGAACTTCGTAAATAGATAGATTCTGAAGTGAAGATAAGCTTTCCAAGGAGGAAGGGAGAGACTGTAAGGACTTGAGCCATTTAAATTTCAGCTTACAAAGAAATGACCAAACTTTCAGAAACCACTCCGCCACATTTGGAAATGAAACCAGCTCATCATTCTCCAGAATTCTTACCGGCTGACTTTATTGGGAGGGAATTAAAGAGTCTCCTAATCAAGAGGGAGCATTTTAGGAAGGTTCTTAATCAAATAAAAATTATTTTTGAATATTTAAATTATATTTGGGAGGAAATTATTTAAGCAAGAGATTTATTTTGAATTCAAAATTTAAGAGGAAAATATATAGAAAGGAGGAGGAATTAAGGGAAAATATATGCTAATTTTTATTAAATTTATGATTATAATGATGCTATCTATATGTTTAAATTGTTAGTTTCAATAATTAGTTAGGTTTTAGCTTGAACTTGAAAAAAAAAATTATAAATATGATTGAATAAGATTTAAAATTCATGTAATATTTGAAGTTAAAATGCGTTCAAAGGGCTCTAATAGTAAATGAGCATATTTTGAGTGAGCTCGTTGCTTGTCCGTGTTTGACTGTTTTGAAATTTTATTCCTTAGAGTTTGGCTCAAGTTCAAAAGTGTTTGTGAATAGCATGTTCTTATTCAATTTATTTGTTTTTGTCATAATAATCAATGATCTTCGATTTATTCTTCTTTGTTCTTATTTGTTATTGCTAATTTAATTTATTAATCTTATATGCTTTTATTCAATTTATTTGTTATTTATTCGAATTACTCAAATTAGTTAAAGAATATTAAATTTCAAAAGTTTTAAATAACTCATAAAAAGAGGAAATTTTTATAAGTGATAATAATCAATTAAGCTCAAAATTTAACAACTAATAATTTAATATCTTATATTATAAATAAAATATTCATTTTTAATAATAACCTTCAATAAGCAAATTAAGAGCTGCAATTTTTTTTGTCTAGGAATTGAAAAATTAGCAATATAATTAATTTAAATAAGATAAAATATAAAAAATTTCAGCCAAATTAGAAACTTAAAATTGATTTTAAAAGTTATCAATAAGAAAAAAAAAACTAGCAATAAATATAATTTAAAAGAACGGAAAGTTATCAATAAGAAAAAAAATCGTAGAGTTGAATTGTTTTATCTTGTAAATAATCAAAATCTAGAATTTAACGACATATATAATGAAATATTAAAAGAAGAATAGATTTATATATAAATGGACCATCAAATGATACAAAAGAGAGAGTACATATATATAATATCTAAGACTATAGTTCAACAGTAATCAAATAGTTTATTTGATTTTAGCTTATATGAGTCTTAGGCTTTGTTTATGATAGTTTTCTTATTGTTTATAACATAATTTTTTAGTATAAAAAATTTTTGAGCTCGAAATTTTTTAATAGAAAACTGATTTAGAAAGTAATAAAAAAACTGTTTTAAACTAAGACTTTTTTTTTTCTTTTAACATGTGAAGGACCGTAGTCGACAGACAACAGGAGGTCAGAGGGACCACAGTCAGTGGACGATGTGGTCAGAGGGTTTGTAGTCAGTAGGTGATCTTGGTCTGAGGGATCGTAGTCGGCAGGTGACGGAGGTCGCAGGAATCGTAGTCGGCGGACAACATAAGTAAGAGAAACCCTGGTCAGTGGTCGACGGGAGATGATTTGATTCCTATAATATTATAGATTAAATGACTTGGTTAAATCATCTCAATAGAACAAAAGATGTGACTTCTATGAAAAATCTTTGGGGATGAATTTTTCATCCCCAACTCCTTCTGGGGATGAAGTTGCAAATTTTATAAACATTTTATTTTATTACTTACATCCTACCCCTCTATGAGCTACAGCTACCCATTTACACAAACCTATCAAAAAAGAAAATAAATGATGACTATTTGAATTTAATGATTTGTTCATTCATTTCAATATCTAAATGAAAATTGATACATATGGTAACTACCATTGTAATATGCTCATATGTGATGTACCATTTTGAACACAACCCTTCGAGCGCCTCAAGTCAATCTCTTTTCTTACACACATAAAAGTTCAAGAAATACCCAACCAATTCATACTAGATAATTATTAAAAAGAGTAGACTTTTAGTCAAGAGGGAATATGCCAACTCATAGTTAGGGGTGTCAATATTTGTCACGACATGAAAATTCATCCCGAAAATTTCGGGATGGACGAGACCCATTTTTTCAAACAGGTCGGGTTCGGGTTGACCGGACGGGTTGCCGGGTCAACTCGGAAACCTGTTAGAATAAGCTTCCACGCTGCTCGCACCTGCCCCGGCTACCAGCGCAGTTGCCAGCGCCTTACTCTCGCCTGCCCGTTGCTGCCCGCGCCCTGCCTGAGGCTGCCCGCTCCACGCAGCTGTCGCTTGCGAGTCGCGCCCGCGGATGCCCGCACTACCTGCTCGTGCCCACACGCATGCCTGCACGCCCGCGTTCGCGCTCACGCCTGCGTGTGCCTGCCTGCGCGCCCGAGTCCGCTTCCTGCCTGTGCGCCCGTGTGGGGTCGGATCAACTCGGCAACCCGACGGGTCGGATTTAGATCTGAGCTTCTGACCCGTTTACCTACCTGGGTCGACCCGATTGAACCAAGGTCAGTTCTGGGTTCGACCCAAACCCGACTCGTGACACGAAATTGACACCCCTACCCATAGCGCCCTCAACAACTCTACATAATATTTAGGTTTTATTTAGGACAACATTCTTACTACTTTATAAAGCAGTTTTTTAGTTCAAATTTTTCTTTAACTATAAAATTTTATACTAAAAAGTTGTTTTAGAAAGCCATAAAAAAGTTGTCCCAAACGAATCTTTCTTTCTTTCTTATGCATTCAATGAGCCCATAAATAACTTCCTTTAAGAATCTCTTTCTCTCTTTTATTCTATGGACTTTTATTTTAATAAATTTTTATGCATCATGCATGCTTTGCTCTTTGGAGTTAGGTAGGGGTGTCAATTTTTGACACGACCCGAACCCGACCCGGAAAAATTCGGGTTCGGGTCAACCCAAACCCGAAACGGGTCGGGTTCGGGTTCATGAAATCAACCCGTTTTAAAAATCGGGTCGGGTTCGGGTTGACCCGCCAACCCGAAATTGACCCGAAAGTGACCCGAAAGTGACACGAAAACTCATTTTTGACCCGAAAACCCGAGATTGACCCGTTTTTGACCCGATTTTGACCCGAAAACCCGAGATTGACCCGATTTTTGACCCGAAAATTAGCAATTTTGGGTCAATTCCGGGTCATTCGTGTCGGGTCGGGTTGACCCGGACCCGAATCGGGTCGGGTTCGAGTCCAGAAACCTGACCCGTTTTTAAAAACGGGTCGGGTTCGGGTTGACCCGAACAGTGCCGGGTCAGTTTCGGGTTCGACCCGAACCCGACCCGTTGACCCGAATTGACACCCCTAAGCGAAGGGAAAAACCAGTTCGTTAAAAGTAACATTGCGTGAAATAACGACTTTGTTATTATGTATATTAAGGCAACTATAGCCTTTATATGTGTCGGAATACCCAATGAAAACATGAGGATGGGCATTAGGTTGAAGTTTGTGACGGGCTTGAGCCGGTATGAGAGGAAAACATTCGGAACCGAAGATCCTTAAATGCGTGTAGGACGGTTTGGATTTATGAAAGACTTCGAATGGGGACAGATTCTAAAGCGTGGGTGTGGGTAGCCGATTGATCAAGTACGTTGCTGTGAGAACCACATCTGGCCAGTAAATGTAAGGAACAGAGGCTGTGTGGAGCAGCGTACGAGTTGTTTCTATAAGGTGCCTGTGTTTGCGCTCCGCTAACCCGTTCTGCTCCGGAGTGTAAGGATAGGATATTTGATGCTGGATATCATTTTCTTTGAGAAATTTGGTAAAGGTGTTATTAACATACTCAAGTCCACCATCAGTCCTGAAGCACTTAATACGCTGATCAGTATATTTTTCAACTTGAAGTTTAAAATTGACAAAGTATTCAAAAACTTCAGATTTCTGTCGTAACGGGAAAAGCCAGGTAAATCTCGGAAAATCGTCAATGAAAGTAACGTAAAATTTATATCCCTGATTAGAAATAATGGGAGCAGGCCCCCACACATCTGAGTGGATTAAAGCTAACGGAGAGTTTTGACGATTATTCGAGTTATCAAAAACAAGCTTATGACCTTTAGACATGTTGCAAGAAATACAATTTGTAAGAAATTTTCCTATGTTTAAAGACGGATTACAAGAAGACAATAAATCAAGAGTTCCTTTGTGGGGGTGCCCAAGACGATGATGCCAAGATGCGGCCGAGCTGATGGATGCCGTGAGCCCTTTATTCTGTGTGGATGTCGCTGCTGGCATGGTGTAGAGGCCGCCACTACACGGGCCTTGAAACAGTACTTTGTGCGTCGTCAAATCCTTCAAAACAAATCCGGTAGGATCAAAGATAATAGCTACATTGTTGTCTTTAGTTAGTTGAGAAATTGATAAGAGATTGTAATGAATGGAAGGAGAGTGAAGAATATGAGATAGAGTTAGCTTACGAGACGGGGTCGGGAGAATACCCGCCCCCGTGTTGGCGATCCCGACAGTGCTGTTATCTCCAATGGTCACCGTGTCAGCGCCATGATATTGCTGGGAGACTGAGAGATTGTCGAGGGAGTTTGTGAGATGCGCAGAAGCCCCCGAGTCCAAGAACCAGTTAGGATTGGCGTTGTCGGCGTGGGCAGTTAAGGCAGTGTTCTGCTGTCGTGGTGACGGCGCATATTGGGTATTCAGACGGTGCCAGCACGTCTGGGCCGAGTGACCCCGCTTGAGACATATTTGGCAGATTACAGGAGGAGAGTTGGCTGTTCTTGGATTACCAGATGCTGGAGCAGAACTTCTTCCTCTGCTTCGACGGCCACGGCCTCTATATGAGAACAGAGCCGTGTTGGGGATCAGGTGCCGGTGCAGATCGGGTAGCCTCCGCAGCCAGATTAACCTCTTCACTTAAGAGAAGAGGGTATAGCTGATCTAGGGAGATCGGAGTGAGCATGGTGCGGATTGCGATTTTGAAGGATTGGTAGGAGGGAGGAAGACCGTTGAGGATGTATAGTATAATATCCTCGGTATCAACTGTAGAGCCGGCGGCGGCAATTTGATCCACCAGGGATTTGATTTCAGTCAGGTATTGATTCATAGAGGAGTTCTTGAGAGAAATATGGTGAAGATCATTCTTGAGTTGAATGACTTTCGACCGATTTGTTGATTGGAAGCGAAGCTCCAAGGTGTTCCAGATCTGAGCGGTGGTGTCGAGAGAGATGACATATCGAAGGACAGTAGGCGAGATAGTCGAGCAGATTGAAGCAGAAATGTTCTGATCAGTGAGTAGCCACTGCGCATACTCCGGATTATTGACTGACACCCCATCAGTTGATCGAAGATTTCGATCGGGTGGAGCAATGGAGATATCAAGAAAGGACTGGAACCCATTTGCCCGAATGATCTTTAAGATCTGGGATTTCCATATTGTATAATTTTCTGGTGTAAGTTGGAGAGAGACGATGTTCTTGATGTGAGACACCAAGAACTTCAGCGTCGTCGGGATGACGGGTTCTGCTTCAGTGGTACCGGTGAAAGTCCGATGGGTATTCGCCGCGGAGGAGAGCGATTGAGACATGGCAAGAAAGAAGAGGATCGGTACCTTAATCTGATACCATGTAGAAAGTAATGACACTTGAGGAAGAAGACAAAGAACCGAGAGTAAAGCTACAGAACGAAATATTATTCTATATCCTAAACTATGATACAGTAGCCTATTATATAGGCCTTTAGGAGAACAGATATAAGAGACACATAACCAATGATGTGTTTACACGTGGACAAGCAGCTAATACATCAGACTTTAATTTGTTTCTGCTAATAATACATAAGCGTACATCGATCAAGTGATACAAACTTGTTCATGCTGACATTGCATTCTTCACACTTGATATATACCAAAGTGGTTGGACCTATTATCAGGGATGAACATAGATATTCGGAATGTGAGCAATCTTGTGCCGATCGGAGCCTCCAACCTTTCGATAGCGCTCATATAACTCTGGATGACATCCCCATATTGTTAGACGTTTCAAAGAGGGAGGAAGGTTCGGTAATTCCCGAAGCATAGGAACGTGATATAGATCCAGTTCAATTAAGCAAGGAAACAAACATCCATCTTCAACATCCATCTTCAGCAGCTCAAACCAATCCTCTAGCAATGGAAAGGTACGGTATTTATCATTCCCATTATATTTACTTTGGAGCCATTTTACTTTCGGCATGTTTTCAAGTTTCAGTGACTTGAGGAAGGGAAGTTGCCCAAAAGGTGGAAGAGTTTCCCACTCCAAGCATTCTCTCAATTCGATTACCTCTAGATTGGAGATAAGATTGACGTTGTTCATCCATATAGCAGACCTTGCACCCATGTAGCTATCTATCTCCAGATCCCTTAGACATTTTGGTGGCTGAAGGTTGTCGAGCACTTTCTCATATAAATTGATGTTCCTCAAATCAGTGTTTTTCCACTCTAAGGTTAAATTTGTGAGCCTCCTCTTTTCACATAATTTGGCGCTACAAGCCTCCTCGGCATCCTTAACATTTTCAAGGTTGTAGATTCCTAAAATGCGAAGATCATTCATATTCTCCAGCTCCCCAATTCTATAACCACTCCCATCTCTAACAACAAAATTATTCAGTTCTGTAAGATACTTTAGCTTCCCAATCCCACATATCGATGAAATACAATTATTGTCCATGTAACGCAAGTTAGAAAGGTTATTAATGTCACTTGGTAAAAAATCAGCATCATTATGATACTTACCATAGATTATGTATTGCAAGTGATAGAGATTACTTAGAGATCTTGGCAGCATAGTCAAATTATGACAATTAATTCCTAAGTATCGAAGATGTATCAAATTTCCAATCTCCTCAGGTATTATTTCCAAGTCCTCTGGAGACAGTAAGTATAATAAGCGCAGGCTTTGCGATGCTTTGAACATTTCAATAAGTGCACTGTAAATATCCTCCGGATTAGAATCTTCATAGAACAAGAAAAGAGAGCGCAAATGTTTAAACTTCTCAATCTTTTTTAAGATGTTTGGATTTGTAGTTCGAAAAAACAAGTGTCGAAGAGTCTCAGGAATTTTGAGAGATGAAACTTCATCATCCACAAGTTTACTGCATACCTGTGCAAAAAATTTAGATGCTGACTCATGTATTAAATCATGCATCTTGTAGTCATCTCCGACCTCGTCAAATAAAGCTTTTTTGACTAAAACATCAAAATACCTTCCTCCGATATCCTCCATTGTCTCTCTTTGATTAGAAGATGGCTGAATGAAACCCAATGCAATCCACATTCGGACTAAATCATCTTTATCATACGGATGATCTTCTGGGAACATACAACAAAATGCAAAACAATTTCGTAGATGATTTGGGAGAACTATATAGCTCAGTCTTAAGATGGAATGGATAGAATTCTGATCCAATAAATTGCTTTCTAGAACAGTCCTCCAATGCCTTTCATCCAAGTGGTCATTCAGAACACCACCAATGACCTTAGCTGCCAACGGAGATCTTGAAAGCTTTTTAACTATCTCTCCAGCAATGGCTCTTAATTTTTTATGATCATCATCAGAGGGGTTCTCTACACCAGCAAATGCATGAGAGTTGAGGAGCTGCAAACACTCATCTTCCTCTAGGCCCTCTAATTTAACTATTTCTTTCTTCTTTTTAATTACCTTTGCAAACATCAGTGCAATTGAGTCCGTTCGAGTTGTTACCAGAATCTTACTACCAAAACCCCCAAAAGCTAGAGGGGCGAGCACATCCTCCCATTTCCTTTTATCTTTCTCCTCATCCTCCTCCCAAATATCATCCAGCACAAGTAAGAACTTTTGGGACATAATCTCAGTCCGAAGACTATTTTGAAGTGCATCAAGTGTGTCACAACGAGGCCTCTCCATCTTAAGAGATTGCAACATATCTGCAATGAGTTTCTTCACATCAAAGTTGTTGGAAACACAAACCCACATTTGACGATCAAATTCCTTTGTAATTTCATCTTTATAAACATGTTGCAAGAGGGTTGTCTTCCCCATACCACCATGGCCCACTATGCATAGCTGAGAAATGTTTCTGTACAAATCAGTTGTTTGATAGTCATTTGATGGATTCCTCAGCCACTCCATAACAAGCTCCTTCTCCTTGCTCCGCCCGATGAGATCATTTTTAGGCAAAGATCCTGTTTCACGTGTTTTGTAGAAATCAACCTCCTGCTCCTTCTGTTCCTGCTTCGCGCTGTTTAAAAGATAAAGGAAAGTAGTAACATCAGCCGAAACTTTATCAAGTTTCTGCACAGCGTCCTCCAGTCGCTTCAAGTTGGGATCCATTTTGAGAACACGTTCGCCAATTTTGAAAATTTTACGAGGACTTTCAAATAGGAAGCTCACGAACTTTCTTTTCTGGCCAAATTAATTAGAAATAGATTATCAAATAAATAAATAAATAAATATATTCGCCAGCAGAATCAAATAGGAAGCACACGGTGGCCGAACGCACCTTTGTTTCTTCAGTGTTTTTGATGAGCTGTTGTTTATGCTTCATGTACTCAAACTCATCGAGCACATCATCTGCCTCATCAATAGCATCTCGCAGCTGCCATATCCATTTGTTGAAAGTAGGGTTCTGATCGCTGATTTGTGCTTGGTTAGCGGCAAAGACGACAGCTTGGATTTTGGGGTGGTTCTCTCGCAGCCTTTCCAGTTCCTTCTTCAGGCCCGTCTGCCATCCGACTTGATCTTTAAGGTAGTCTTCAAGGTATTCAAAGCAAGTGTTGATGATCTTATCCATGATTGGACCAGCAAAATATCCCTCCATCGCAGCGACGATTGAGGTAGAGAGAGCAGAACAACTGATACAGAGATCGGATGAGAAAGAATTTAAGCCGCAAATGGCCACGTCCAGCGTAGAGAGAAGGCGAATCTGCCTCGTAGCCGACGACTGAAAGTCTCTGTAAGTCAAGTAAACTGAGAGAGATGGCAAAGCTGCCGCTTTGCCGACGACTGAAAGTCTCCGTAAGTCGAGTAAACGGAGAACAAGTGAGAAGCTTCCCTGCAGTTGTAAGTTGCCGACCCAAAGTCTCCGTTCTGAAATAAGAAAATGTAAAATAAATGGGAAGTTTTATTTTGATGGGAGGACAGAAGCTGCCGCGTAGTCGTAATAACTCAAACAGTAAGCTGCTGCGTAGTGGAACCACCAACAAGTAAAACAGAGATTGGAAGATATAAGATTAGATAGTCTCTAATAGCTCTAAATGAATGCTTTTTATGTAGTATAATTGACTAAATTTGTTTTTTTTTTTAAATAAATCATCATATAATAAATGTGTGATTCACAAATGATTGCTTTGGATATTTATGGGAGTGTTAAAATTGGGATCAAATTGACTTAATTAATTTGAAATAAATTTGATTTAGTCGAAAACAATTTGGTCGAAATTAGTGCTACATGATTGAATAAGACCAACTGAATGAAATTCAATTTAATTATATTTGAGCTAATTTAATTCGAGTTGAACTGGCTTAATTTAACTTAATTTAATACAAATGAAATCTTATGCATCCTCAATTTGAGTAGAATAGGCTTAATTTTATTTGCTTTGACTTGACTTAAAAAATGAGACGATGACTATTATAAATTTCATTTCGAAAAAGAGGGCAACAAAGCAAAGAATTATCTATTACCAAGAACATTATGGTTCTTGATAATGAGTTTCAAGATTGATATATATAATAATATTTAATATTATTTAATAATTTTTACATAATATTAAATATAGGTGGAACATAATTTATTATTCCTATGTTTCTCATAATATTAATATAGCTGAAAGTTAATTAAATTTTAATAATTTTCAAATAATATTAAATACAATTTTTTTTTCAAATAATAATAAATTTAGCTAAAAGTTAATAAGTTAAACATAATATTAAAAATTAACTTTTACATAATAATATTTATTTTCACACTATAGTAAATATTAAATATAGCGGTTTCCCTCTCAGTCCTTATCTTTTCTGTCTTGTTATGGATGCATTTTCTAATTTATTAAAGGAGAGGGGATTCATTGGTATCAATGTAGATAATTTCAATCTTACCCATCTTTTATACGCTGATGACGTGCTTGTTTTTGGGGAGGCTTCTTTAAGTAACTGTCAAAATCTGGCAAATATTCTCAGAGATTTTGGTAATTCTACTGGCTTGCATATCAATTGCGAAAAAAGTGCTATTATGTTCCCCAAGCATCAAACTAATCAACAAGTCATTTGCCAGATCCTATCAATCTATAACATTACAAATAAAATCTCTTACCTAGGGATCCCGTTGTCTTTCAATAGGCTTAAAGTAGAAGATTTTCTTCCACTTATGGACTGCATCACTCATAAGATGAACGGATGGAAGGCTAACTTGTTGTCGTTTGCTGTGCGCTTACAGTACTTAAAGTTCACTATTCAAAACACCATTGGGTACTGGATTCGTGGTTCGATTTTGCCTAAACAGGTGTGTAAGCACTTTAACAAGGTTAGCTCTAGATTTCTTTTCTTTGGAGATTCAAATCATTCTAGAACATTGCACATGATATCTTGGGATACTATATGTCAGCCCAAGAACAAGGGTGGGTTGGGGATTCCCTCTGTTAATGCCATACAATTTGCATATAACTGTGCTGTCATACTCAGGATGTATAACAGCACTTCTCCCCTCTCCAATTGGTTGACTAGCAAATATATCTCTCCTTGGCGGCCTCCTCCTATGACTGCTTCAAAATTCTGGAAATCTATGTGTAAAACTTCTACTGAAGCTAAGGATTTTTTTCATTTCAAGATTAATGCTTACTGCCCTATTTCACTGACCTGGGATCACTGGTGTTATGAAATGACTTTAAAAGATTATATGGGAGAAGCAATTTCTGTACAGGAGAAAAAATTGGGCTCTTTTTATTATGATTCTATGTGGAATTTACCGAATTTCCTACCTGAGCAATTGAAGGTTTTATTTGTCATGTCACATGGATTAAGCAATGAGCCTAATCTAATGTGGAAAGATAAATCTGTATCAAAATTCAAAGATTATGTCCATGAGTTTTATAGTGGCTTATCTGATTGTAACTGGTTCAAAAATGTGTGGCACAAAGGTAGCTGTCTTAAGCACAATGTGTTTGTTTGGCTGGCTTTAGTAGGGGGCTTAAGACAGCTGATGCTCTTCGCATTAGGTAGATTAATGTGCCCAGTAAATGCTCTTTATGTCATATTTTTGATGAATCAATTACGCATATGTTCTTTGAATGCTCATACTGCTTTACAGTTCTCATTACTGCCATGCCAGACACTAAGAATTACTGTTAAGACCTTCTCTGCTTCACCTGTTTGTTTGGGTGAACTCGAAATACAAAGGAAATTCTGCTTTGAAAAATTTTTACAAATTCACGGTGTGCTGTATTACTTATTATCTCTGGAAGGAGAGGAACTCTAGAAGGTTTGGAGGTATTTCGAATAGCTCTACTACACTCGTCTTGTCCATTAAAAAAGTGGTGTTTGAGAAAGTGCTTGAATGGAAGAACTCCTATGGATTGCTAGAAAGGTTATAAGTATGGATCTAGATGGGATGCGATGTCTTATTTTGCAGCAATTTTGTGGCCAGTCTGGACAATGATGATGCCCCTTGCTGCTGATCCCTTGGATGGCCTTTGGGGCAACCAGGGATTGTTGGTTTCTTCGAATGTATCACATTTCTCTGAGTCCAAACTGATTCTGGGCCAGGGGCATGTTCTTATACCAGTTCTGTTTTTGGCTGCTGATGAGTAGTTTCCATTTCAGGAGATGGAGTTACTGGTGGAATGCTTTCACTGATTGTTTTTTGAAGATTTTTTGCAGGTTATGGTTATTATCTGCATCATATTGAAGATATCCTGCTTGTTTCTTCGTATATTATTCTCAGGCATAAAATCATCTAGTTCATTTGAAAATTCTGAAGCTGTGCTTTTGTTCAAGAAATTTGGTGGTAGTTCGCTGGATCTGGCGGTGGTCTTTTTCGCAGTTTTTATTTTAGTATATTTCTGATGGTTTTTTTTAGCCATTTACTTGTAATTTTGGTTTTCTTTTATTTTTGGGCTTATTCAAGCCAGCCTTAAGGCTTTAGCATTTCTTCACACCTGTAATCAGTTTGATTAATAGAAGGGCTGTGCCCAAATTTTCCCAAAAAAAAAAAAAAAACTGTTGAACATCATCAAAAAATTCGAACAGTTGGAGGAAAGTGGTCCTGAAAAAAAACCCTCCACGTCTGGCAGAAGATAAACTAAAATCTGGAAAGAAAAATCACATTGGAATAGTAGATGAATGATAAATTCCTCTTCCTTAGAGCATAATGGACAAATGTGATGAATCAAAATATTCCTTTTTGCAAGCACTTCAGCTTTTTTGAGGCCATTAAGAACAGCTAACCATGCAAAAGAAGAGAACCTTAGAGGCAATCACTTATGCCAAATGAACTTGTGCCAAGCAACCTTTGTGAAATAAGAGAAGAAAAGCATTCTAAAAGTTCTAAAATTAGGTGTCCCATCTCCATTCAAGGGTAATCCATAATAGGGATGGACGAAATCAGCTGACAAACATGAGGAGGAAAATGATTATTCAGATTACAAACTCCATCAATAACATAATCCTTCACATTTTCACAAATTCCTAAAAACCTTAAAACAAACATTTTTATAAATAATTCCTTAAAACATTAAAACAAATTTGCTTTAATGTAATTTCTGTTTTTAGAAACTTTTGTTTTTAGAAAAATGTTTTTACACATTTGTTTTAATATTTTTAGGAGTTACTTTAAAATAAATTTGTAATTTTTTTTTTTGAACATTATAAACATGCAATGTTGTTGTTAGACCCCAAGTCCTGGATAAGAAAAATGGAGAGTGACATTCAATGATCGACAATCAGTATAAAACTTATTGAATAATCATCATATTATGTTAATATTAGAGCATTGTTGAGATTGTTGCAACTTAATTGTTTGACTGTTGAGATTATTGCAACATATGTATTTTTGGTGATTGCAAATCTTATTATTTTAATTATTGTTTCTCCCAACATATATTGGATATAGTGTTTTTGTTGTTTGTGTGCACTAACATTTCAAGGAAATCTTACTCTAGATTATTGAAGACTTCAAATCAAATTAGATTTCGATTTACTGAATAAGGAGTTTGTATTTTTCACTTTTTTTAAGTATGAGAGTGTGTGATTGTAATTGAGTAACCGTGCACACACACACTGGAGGAGTTTAAATTTGTAATTTTTTAAACTAATCGTATTGTATGATTTCATTTCGTATGGGACAATTTGTTCAATTATTTCCTCCTACGAGAAGAAATGTGTAATTTTTTTTTTCTTAGTACTAATTATACTATACGAAGTCACCTTCATATAGACGACGTTCAGAGTACAAAAAGAACGGGTCCTGTTTCATCCCAACGAATCTCAAATTTTTCTAAACTGATTATACCGTACGATGTCATGTTCGTACAGATGACGTCCATAGTATGAAAATATGGGGAACCTCTTCGTCCAAACGAACGCCAAATTTTTTTAAATGGATCATACTGTATAATGTCTTGTTCATATAGATGACATCCATAGTAAGAAAAATTGGGGAACCTTTTTTTTTTTTTTTTGAACGAATGCCAATGTATTTTGAAGGGAACATACTATACGATGTCTTGTTCGTACTAACGACGTCCAGAGTACGAAAATATGAAGTATCTTTTCGTCCCAACAAATCAGAAAAATTTTCTTAACAATTTGTACAGTACGAACATGGTTCATACTGGATGATTATCGCATACGAAAATATTTTGTTCAGGTTCGTAGCAGTTTTTAAATTATTCATACATAGAAATTACGATCGTAATATATAATCGTATACGCTCAAAATGGTAATTTTCAATTTAATGAACAATTTTTCACGTCTTTCATATGAAAAGTCCTTAAAAACTAACTTGGACTTTCTGTTCTTCGTATTTTCCTTAAGAGTAAGTGAAAGAGTGTTTTGGGAAAGTGTTTGTGAGAGAGTTCTTGCAAGTAGAGTGTGAAGAATTCATAAGGTTACTCAAAGGTAAGAATCTTTTTTATATTTTAGTTACTAATTTTTCTTTATTTCTTCTTTCTAGTTGCTCGAGAGAAGATCTTTGAACAAGATTTGGTACTCTACCGACACTTATAGGATATGAAAGGATGATGGTATTCTACCAACAGTTGGATGATATGAAAGTATGATGATACTCTGCCAACACTTGGAGGTGTAAAAGGATGATGGTACTCTATCACACCGGGGATTGATGGAAGAGAGAAAAATTGTAAAGGCTTATCTGCCTTGATGTGGGGGCAAAAAGAGAATCACTTTGATAATAGTACAATACCTGAAGAGGAAGTCTTCAAGGAATGAACATAGAGCTTCTTGAACCGAATGAACGTAGAGCTTCTTGAACCGAACCACTATAAATCTTTGTGTTTATTTTTATTTCCACCCTTTTATTTTTCAGTATCTTACTTTTTATGGTTTAAAACTTATTTTGCATAAAACATATAAAACTAGTTTTTTTTTAAGAGAACTATTAAATTACTAATTCACCCTCCCTCTTAGTTAATCTTGGGACATTTGTATAGGTTTAACAACCTATATAGACTTTACAAGTGGTATTAGAGATTTATTTCAAAACTTAAAATTTAGACTACTTTTTAAAAATGATAATGACTAATTTTGGAAATCGTAACACACATGAAGGATATTCGATCACTAGACTTCCATTATTTAATAATATCCCTTTCAATTTTTAGAAAACACATATGTCTACTTTTCTTCAATCGCTTGACTATCACATGTGGATCTTATTACAAGATGGATACCCTAGCCAACTAGACTACAAAATGGCATTAGAACTGAAACACCGTTTACTGACTAGATTGTAGAAGAATGTGAATTAGCTCAGTTAAATGCGAAATATTTAAATAGTTTCTTTTCTGCACTAAAATAAGAAGATTACATGTGTGTTTCTACTTGCAAAACTTGAAAAGAAATTTGGGCCAAACTTTGTATAACATATG